GCACTCTTTGCCGCTGTGGTACCATGCACACCCGTCTGCCTTTACCCATTTCCATGACTTTTTGTCTGTTCACGTTACCTAGCCTGTTTATCTCCCATCCTCTCTTTGGTCGAGATGCCGACGGCCTTACCATCAACCAAAGCCCGAGTGTCACCATGAGGCACCCCTCCTTAGCGCCTCTTTAGCTGCTCTCGTATAGCCACACCCACATTGCTGATGTTAGTTTCCTGGCTTCGAGACACAGGCTCCGAGGAGGCGGGTGGCCCTCTCATTGTCTCTGCCATGGGCCGCCAGCCAGAGGCTTTCCGGGTTACATGATATTCCCGCTGGCGCAACCATGACCCTCGGCTCGCGTGATGACCGGAACGGGAAGCGGCCTCTGTTAGCCTCGAGAAAGAGTAGTAAACGATACCGCTGCGGGACAGCTCACGGAGCCGTCTCTGGGTGACACTGAGACATTGCGTGGCCCTTGTCTCTGTCCAAAGGGGAGCGATCCGGCGGGGTGGGATAGCGCCATCTGCCGGCTCGCTACGCGGCCCACCCACCACATCATTATCGATGTTCAGAGCTCTCAGCTCGAGCGGGGGGCGGGACGAAAAAGAAAGAAAAAAAAGGGAGAAAGAGGCTTGCTTGTGACCTCCATGACCCTTGCGTCGACGGCCACCCGAGGGCCGCCGGCGAAAACAGCACAATCAGCCGGGGCTGTGGGTAGCGGTGGTGGGTTGTATGCAGTCTTGGGATCCTCCCTCGCAGGTGCCGCCCCCGCACGCGGCCGAGGGCAAGCAAGATCGGGAAGCCCAGAAGGGATAGGGCCTCTGCGCCTGGTCGATGTGCCCGCGTCCTGGAAGTTGGAGCCTCGTGCGACGCTTTCAGTAGCGCGTGTGTGTGTCTCTTGCGTTGGCCCCGAAAGAAGGTGTACGCTAAGAACATGAAGCTCGAGAGCTAGTTCGGCAATCAGCCAATGACATGGCCGCACGGTGAGCTACCAAAATAAGAACCTGGCAACCCTTTTTGACTTTTATGTGTGTGTGTGAAGCTTCCCACACTACCGACATGCTGCGCTATCCAAAAAGCCGCACAACGGTCTATTTCGGCAAGGGAGGGCATTGTGTTTTGTAAACATCTGTGCGGGCAGAGAGACGATTTGGCGGTTTTTAGGCCGCGCCACCAAGGTCACCAAACAAGAGGGAGAAAAAGGCTGGACGCAGAACATGAAACTACTAGCTAAGCCAAAAGTGCAGCACCGCTGCATTCACGCTAGCAAGAAGCCTCCCAGAACGTTTCTCTCCCATCGAGTTTCCCTCAGCCACCCCGCTGGCATCGCCGTGCCCGAGAAACCCTGTGTGTGGTGGGGACAGGGGCTCGATTCGTGCCCCCTGAAACTCGATGATAGCCGAAAAGGCCAACTCTGGCCGACGACTTTTCCTTGCTTTTGAGCAACTAGTCTGCTGCGTACTCGTATCACCCAAATCAAAATCAAAAACAAAGCCGAGGAAGACGAAAAGGCCTGCATAGCAAGGTGCAGCTTGCCGGGAAAACAATAAAAAAAGCAAGGCAGCGCGGCCTGGCTGATGCGGTGGGGGGGAAGGCTTCGCGCTAGCTTAAGGCAATATTTGAGGACATATATCACCCACTCGGGGCATTTCTTCCTTTTGGCACCCGAGAAGGGCCTCGAAAACGGGCGTGGAGAAACTCGTGACAACAAACAAGAAAAAAACAATAACAAAACATTGAAAAATTGCCGGGAAGGTCACCCACGGCGGTCTCGCCCACACACTTGTCCACTCCCAAGGCCCGGCGCGCTTTTCCCCGACCTTGTGGGCAAGGCGCAACTCGACGTTGTACCTGGGACAGTGTGGTCATCCCTGTTTCCAGGCTCTTCAGCTCGTATTGTTGTTCTTCTTTGCCTGCTTTGATCAAGTCCTGGGTGGCTCAGGGCAGGCAAATTGATCGGCCCCACCTCCCTCGCCTCGAACTTCTTTTTACCTTCCTTTCCACTCCCTGGCCGCTGCAACGCGGACCCAACCCGACATCCACACTGCGAAGTGCCCAGCCCGTAACCACATCGAGTGTGCCTCTCGATCGGACACAGGCCTGGAGCGAGCACGCGTTCAGTGCTGCTCCACGCCCTGTGCTTCATGTACCTGGGTGGGCCACACACACATCCGGGTGCCACCGGATTTCCTTGGTCATAGGAAAAGCCCATCACGCAACATCTTTCGGTCAGCGTGCAGGCTGCCGCCTATTTTCAATGTCTTGATATCGTCACTAGGACAGAACGAGAAGTGCTTGGCGAGTGGCCGAAAACGCCCGCTCCCAACAGGAATGCATTTAGCCACTATCCACAGACTGTTGGCCAGACCTGCCCAGCTGAGCAGCAGAGGGTGGAGACCCAGGCGTGGACGTACACGGTTGGGTTTCTCAGAGTCCAGGTTGGTCCCTGCCGTATGCGCCAGGGCGGCAAGTTTGGCGGTCTGCCATCTCTCCGCCCTGTTTGGTCCGTCCGAACGGTCAATCTCAGCCAGAGAGTAAGGGAAAGCAGCGCACTTGCCGGCCATTAATCCTTCCTTGTCCCCCTTCCTCAACCCGCCGCCACAGGGGCCAAGCCAACTGTTGCCAGCTCACGGGGGAAAGCGGGCAGGGGCCAGGACTTGATTTGGAGGACTTGGGGATATTATCTTGGGAGCCTCCGCTCGGCCTTTTCTTTTTCCTCCTGTTGGCCGCTTGATCACACAACGGCCCAGCGGCTGGCTGCGTGCATGTTTGCCTGGTCACAGCTGTGTTGCCTCTCGGGTCCCCCCTTTTGTTTTCGCCTTCAGCGGCTAACGGCCCCGGGAGAATCATGTCAACAGCCGTTCCGGTCATATCAGAAGCTGTCGATAATACGCGCGGCGGGCCAGTCGCAACGTCTCTCCCTCCCGCCGTGTGTTCCCCAGATCCCGAGGCACACGGGCAGAGGGCCATTACTTGGAGCCGGAAAGCCCATGGCGAAAGCCTCATAATCTCAAGTGCCAGGGTTGCCCTAACCCGGCCGGGTGTACAGGTTAGACCACGATGGGATACCACGGCGGCCTGGGATGCAACACGCTGTGACAGCACCCAACCCAAGAAAAGAAGCTGCCGGATGTCCGATCGGGGCACCGACCTACCATGTAGCCAGGCGGATCCAGAAACTTTCCATTCTTGGTTCGAGAGAGGGGTCTTCACTGGACAGGCGGCAGGCACATAAAAACGATGGAGGACACCTAGGACCGGGAACAAAGTTACGACTGGTGGCTACGGCACTAACGGGCTGCCCAGGCGCTACCTGGGGCTCCTCTGTCCGTTAATTGTTGCAAGGGAGTCTGCAATGGACCGACGGCATCTCTCCCAGACCGAGAGGAAGTCAAGTCGATGACGTGAGATGCATGCAATACTTGCAAAAAAAAAAAAATCCCTGAAAACAAAGGAACGAGAGGGGAAAACACCGGGAGGGTGAGTGTGGATAGCATGCAGGCTAGCGCATGCCCAGGAAGGTGATACAGGGGAAAGAGGCACGCGGCTTCGCTGGGCACACATGGCCTTGCAGACGAGCCGAGAAGTGATTGCGCAATTCTCTGCAACATAGTAGTATTGATGTGCAGATGTTTCAGCATTGCTGCTTGTTGGGCCATGGGCACGAGGTTACTTCTCGAACCGCTGTGGGGAAGCACGCTATCGAGGACTGACAAATGATGAGTGATGGAGACGTCCACAGCATGGACGAGATATTTCCACATCATTTGTTTGGTGACCATTGAGTATCCGTGTGAGCACATTCTCAGCTGGGATGGCTGGAACGGAGGCGGCCGGAGAGGGGTTGTATCGCTGGCGAGCAGCAAGTGACATCAGGCCATGGGTCGGATGCTGGCATTACAGAGAGTGGACCCGCGGGCAGGTGGCCTGGCCCTTGGGGGGCCTCCTCCTCTAGAAGATGGCATCAAGTTGATATCGGCGGCGCGGTTGCGGTGACCGGTCAGGCTGGGGGTGGATAAGACGTTGGCTTCAGTGGGTGCCATGGGAATTAAACATGCTGCGTTGGCAGTGCATTAGCAGCAAAAAGAAGCAACAACCAAACCCGGCGGAAATGACCCGCACCCAGGCCCCGGGCCTGATTGGCAAACTACCAATTCCAGCGCCATCAGCTGCCGTCTGCGGGCTTTGATTACACCCAAAAGCTTTTTTTTCCCTGGCACCGGGACCAAATGACGGGCCTCTCGGCAGCACGCGACAATTGGCTGACGCGACAGTGACGCGAACCCAAACGCCATCAGCACCCGCCGCGGGGAAGCTGGCCCATCGGGCTCCATCCCTGCCCGCTGCCTTGGCAACAGTCTGGTAAGCCCACCACTCTGTTGTGTCTGTCTTTTGCAGTCTAGTGCTGGCTGCTTGTGTCGCAAAAAGGTTATTCTATTCTGAGCCATTAAGGGCGAATGTGACTGGCTGGCTGGCTGGCTGGCTGGCAGTGGTCGGCTAGAGCGTTCCAACGAAGGATTGGAATCGCCTTTGCCATGCTTATCATCTGGGGCTGTGGGTCGGTTGGAGGGCATGGCCTGCATGGAAATCTTGAAAGAAACTGGCGTGAGGCCGGGTAGGCGCCCCGGCGGCTTCCGGGGTGGGGCCCAGCGCCAAAAACGCACATGAGAGCGCGCTGCCCCAGCAGACCGGTCTGAACACCCATGTTGGCACTGCGCCGGAGATGTATCCTACCGTGTCTCTAGCCTCGGAGAAGAGGCAGTCGATGGCTGGAATGTTTGAGGGAATTTGGCCGCTTCCGGGGCAGCCAAAGGCACAGCAGGCGTCAATCAAACCAACCATCAGGCACAAGTCCCATGCCGCTGGGCCCAGCTGCGCCAATCATGACTTCTAGCGCCCCAATGTGTATTTCGGGACCTTTCGGGATCCGGCCAATCAGCGGGCGCCTGGCGCGGCTGCCAGCTGAATGCGGGCTTGTCAGCCTTCTACCCCTCTGCAGTGGGGAGAGCGGCGCGCTTGGGAAATTTCGCTCTCCCCTGCAACATTGATTGCCAGCCGAGCCGCCTATCGAGCCCAGCCTTGGGTATCACCAGCCAGGCTCTGCCCTGCTGCGTCCGACACACCTCCTGGTTTGGGCCATCACATCGTAGACGAAAGCAGGCTCCACGGCCCTCTAGGAAAGCATTGCAAGCATTGCAAGCGCCGGTGCCAGGGCGGTAATTACAGACCTGCATCGACGAGATTTGTGGCGCTTTCTGTCCAGCTCCCTTTTCACCGTTCGGTCGCCGCCTTACCGCCTGCCCACGCACACTCCCCCCTCCCCCCTCCCCCTGCCTGCCCTACCGTGCAGCCATTAACCACACCCCACCACCCCCAACGACCACCACCAGCCCGGTCCGCCCTGCCGACTAAGCACCCGGCCATGGAGTCCGAGATTAGGACCATCCTCCCCCATGTGGACCCCGTGGTTTCCGAGTACTCGGTAGGGTACCTGACCCACGCCTCGACGGCATGGGCCGGCGATGAGGAGAGCGCCGGCCCGCCGCCGATGGCCGAGGCCGCCTCGGTCGTCACGGAACTGCTGCTCTCAGCCTCGGGCAACCCGGACGCTCGCATGGAGGAGAAGATCCGCTCGCTGGTCGACAAGTGGGTGGACAAGTACGCCGAGGCCAGCGGCTCGCACGAGCACCGCGGGCCCTCGGTCCGCCGCCTGGACCAGACCATCCAGGTCGGCGCCCAGCGCAACATGTCGTCCACCCTGGCCGTCTCACAGGGCGGCGTCGACCTCGAGTCCGCCAACGCCCGCAAGGTCGAGTCCAAGGTCGACCGCAAGAAGCTCGAGAAGGCCGAGCGCAAGATCGCCGCCAAACAGAACAAGAAGACCTTCAAGACGGTCGAGTACGAGTCGTCGCGCCTGCTTAACCAGCCGGACGCCGCCCAGTCGTACGAGGACTTTTACATGGCCGTCAACCCCCTGCAGATGGGTGGTGGCAGCGCCGGCAAGAGCAAGGATATCAAGGTCGACAACACCGACGTCTCCATCGGCGGCCAGCGCATCCTCGCCGACACCACCCTCACCCTGTCCTACGGCCATCGCTATGGCCTTGTCGGTTTCAACGGTGTCGGTAAATCGACTCTGCTCCGCGCTCTCGCCAAGAGAGAAGTTCCTATCCCTACCCACATCTCTATTCTCCACGTTGAGCAAGAAGTAAGTCGAGTAGCAGGCGCCATACTCCTACTGCCGTCTTATGACGGAGGGCAAGCCAACAGTCAGAACATGCTCTAACAAGTGCTCTAGATTACTGGAGACGACACTCCCGCGTTGCAAGCTGTTCTGGATGCCGATGTGTGGCGCAAGGTCTTACTAAAGGAACAAGCCGTGAGTACCTCACTTAGCCCGACTTGTTGATATATGACGCCTGTCTCCTCGTCGAAACTTCTCAACTGCCTACTTTTACGCACCCACGCATCCTACTTACGCACATGACGCCCCCTCACTTAGAAAATCACGGCAAAACTAGCCGAGATAGAGCAGCAGCGGGCCTCCATGGCAGACACCTCGGAAGAGGCAGCCAAACTGGACCGCGAGCGCGAGGCTCAAGACCAGACGCTAGGCGACGTCCAAGGCAAGCTCGCCGAGATGGAGTCGGACAAGGCCGAGTCGAGGGCTGCCAGCATCCTAGCAGGTCTGGGTTTCTCGGCGGAACGGCAACAGTTCGCAACCAAAACCTTCTCGGGAGGTTGGCGTATGCGTCTTGCCTTGGCGCGAGCGCTGTTCTGCGAGCCCGACCTTCTGCTGCTCGACGAGCCGTCAAACATGTTGGACGTTCCGTCCATCACCTTCCTTTCCACCTACCTTCAGAGCTATCCCAGCACCGTCCTGGTCGTGTCTCACGACCGTGCGTTCCTCAACGAGGTGGCAACCGACATCATCCATCAACACTCTCAAAGGCTCGATTACTACCGTGGAGCCAACTTTGACACATTCTACGCCACGCGTGAGGAGCGCCTGAAGACGGCTAAGCGCGAGTACGAGAATCAGATGGCGCAACGCGCGCATCTGCAGGCCTTCATCGACAAGTTCCGCTACAACGCAGCCAAGTCGTCCGAGGCCCAGTCGCGCATCAAGAAGCTGGAGCGTATGCCCGTGCTCGAGCCCCCCGAAGCCGAGTACAGCGTCCACTTCACCTTCCCCGATGTTGAAAAGATGTCGCCGCCCATCATCCAGATGTCGGGCGTCACCTTTGGCTACACGCCAGACAAGATCCTGCTCCGCGATGTCGACCTGGACGTCCAGCTAGACTCGCGTATCGGCATCGTCAGACCCAACGGCGCGGGAAAGACGACGGTGCTGCGCCTGCTCATCGGAAAGCTGACACCCACCACGGGCATAATCTCGCAGAACCCGCGCCTGCGCGTCGGCTTCTTCGCTCAGCACCACGTTGATGCGCTGGACCTGAACGTGTCGGCCGTTACCTTCATGGCCAAGACGTACCCCGGGCGCACCGACGAGGAGTACCGGCGCCAGCTCGGCGCCTTTGGAATCACGGGAACCACGGGCCTGCAGAAGATGGAGTTTCTGTCGGGAGGCCAGAAGTCCCGCGTCGCTTTTGCGTGCCTGGCGCTGCAGAACCCGCACATCCTCGTGCTCGATGAGCCGTCCAACCATCTCGACATCGAGGCCATGGACGCCCTCAGCGACGCCCTCAAGCGCTTCCAGGGCGGCGTGCTCATGGTCAGCCACGACGTCACCATGCTCCAGACCGTCTGCACCAGCCTGTGGGTCTGCGACGGCGGCATCGTCGAGAAGTTCCCCGGCGACGTCCAGCAGTACAAGAAGCGCATCGCCGCCCAGGCCGACGCGGCCGGCGTGGTCAAGGCCCACTGAGCCGGCGGCGGCGGCGGCGGCGGCTATGGGCTATTACACATTTGTTAGTGTGACAGTAGCGATAGTATTGACAAAATGGAAGCCGGTTGCAGGCGATATATCTCCACGAGGTGTATGAACGATTTGGTCGTTAGGCATGAGGTCGCCTCGATTATGCGTTTGTTCAGTGAGGTGATACGTAAAAGCCGAGACACGATGCAATATTTGATCATGTGAGCAACCAGCGAAGATATCGACTACAGCTACTCATCTGCACGGCGGTTCGTACCATACGGAGCTGGAAGCTACAAGATCATAAAACATATCCATGTGTTCCATCCAATGACACACCTGTGTGCTTGTCGGGACATGCTTTGTCGAAAAGGGGATGGAGCAACGACAACACCCTTGAGATGCAAGAGTACGTCAGAATAACATTCGATAATGGAGTCGGATGACACGGCTGTTTCGTACATTTCGTCAAACAGACCAGACCAGCAAGATGCACGCGGCAGCCAACACAGACATCATGTTTTCATTTTCTTTTCCAAATATAGTCCCGCCGTGAACCAGCTGTCACGTTGAGCCATCGGCACTGACCAGGGGCCTGTCACCAACAAACACGACCAAACAACACCGACTTACTCCGGAATCAGAGCCCACCCCGTCTGTTGTCGTGGAGCGCTGTTGCAGACTCGTGCACAGTCACGTACAAGTTGGCAAGAAAGTGGAAGGAATGGGCAAAAAACAAAAGTTCGATGTAGGGAGGAGCAAAAAAAAAAAAAAAAAGCAACAAGGACACAACGTCACACGTTCCAGCAGCGGGTCTCGTCGTCACCAAACAGGACAAGGGGCCACCGCCAAACCGCACCAAACCCGGATTTTTACTTCGTTGTGTCCGAGCTCACCCTGTTTTTTCTTCTTTCCTTTTTCTTTGCAACCTGTTCAGGGGGGGCAATCTACGTGGACGGATCTTGTAGGACGGAAAAGGTGGCTTCGCGTTGGCTCCGCTCGTGTCCTACCGCCGCCCTTCTTGGACACGCCACCCAGTTCTTGCGGGGATCGGTTCAACACAACAGCTTGCGTTGGAAGGGTGGCACAGACACAGGATCCCTTCGACCCTCAGGAGCAGGCGACAGAAGCACATGAGAGAGAGATTGGTCGACGGGCGGGTGGGCGCCCTACTGCCCGGGCAGTGCCACACCTTCAGGGCCAATCACACCCAAGCCTAGGTGGAAATCAAGGCAGACACAGAGAGCAGCCACCCTCCTGTCAAGTGGCCCAAGGCAGAATTCACCCACAGCACATCACTACGAGACATCGATTGATTGGTCAGGACCATGTCAAGAAACTTTGCTTGTACGACTGAGCACGCAGAGAGATAGCGCTCGCTTCAAAGTCGAGACGCTGAGACTACGACATGACAGAAAATAACTATGAAAACAAGACTGAAATGAAACCAAAACCGAATATACCCCTTTGCCTGGGTAGCCGTAGCTAGCAAACCCCACCGAAATGTAAACAGAAGGAAAGTAGGAAAAGAAATCAACTGCCACTGCAGCCTCCCCATTATTTTGTTGTTTTGTTTGGGAGGAACAAACTCTCCTCCCTCCAGTTCACTCAAGATGATAGCGAGCACAATAAAAGCGAATCAACACTTAGGATCGGTTTCGTCAAGGCGCAGCACCCAGTGACTGAGCAACGGTCTTCCAATGGTCTCGCTCAGCCTCGAGCTTGGCAATCTTCTCTTCGAGCTCCTCAAAGCGCATGGCCTTGCGCTCCCGGGACTTGCGAGCAGCCAGTGTGTTTCGCGCACGCTTCATGGCCACAATGTCCGAAGGGTCCTCGACGACGATTGGCGGCAGGGGCTTGTCGCGTCGACGAGAGTTGACACCGGCAACAGAAGAGTGACGGCCAGATGTTGGCGAGTTGCCAGACTTGCGACGAGGTGCAGGTGAGCGCTCCACAGGTTCAACGTCATCAGACCCCGAAGTAGGAGACAGCTGGGTCCGCTGCGGTTGAGGGGCAGGGTTCCGAGCAAGCTGGGTGACCGTCGTGTTGCTGTTGATGTTGTCGCCGGTCTGAGGGAAGAGCGGATACCAGACGTCGGTTGCAGAGTCGATGTCGTTGCCAGAGATGTTGGGAGATACATCGTAGCTGCCGTCGCCGAACTCGGGAGACCCGTGATAGAGAGATGGTGAGGTCAACGCAGTCAGAGCGCTCGAGTTGGGAGCCGACATGAAAGGCTCCTGCAGGAGCAGATCCTGCGGCGAGACCGTGCCCATGTTGCTGACCGAGCTGGAGCTGTTGATGTCGAACACGCCGTGCATGGCCGGAGACGAGAACGCGGACACGCCGCCCTCGAAGGCGGTGAAGTCCTCGAACGAGAGGTCTGGACGCAAGACGTGTGAGCTATGGGACGACGACATGGGTGGGGGAGCGGGGTCGCGCGCGGCGCAACTGGCAGATGCGAGAGTAGGATTGTCCGTACCTTGGGCGTTCATCTTGCCTTGCGTGTGCGTGTTGATATTACCGGTACTCTGGGAGAATAGGGGCACAGGCGGGCGGACAGCACGGAGTTGGTCGGTGTTCAGAGCAACGGTTGACGAGGGGGCCGACGAGTAAAACTGTCCAGGGGTCTGCGCCGAGTGGGTGAACCGATTGGTGTATGCCGTAGGTGATGTGGAATGTCCAGTGGCCTGGATGATCTGTGCTACTCTTTGGTTCTGCACGGAGGGAGAGGCGGCGTGCGGATGGTGACGATGATTGTGAGAGGCACTTCGGGTGGCCACAGAGTGCGAGACAGACCGACTAGGTTGATGAGATCGCTTGGGCGTATCGAACAGCACAAAGTCCTGGCTCGGAAATGCTTGCTGTTGGGGTTGTTGCGCGGATGCTGCCGGCAGGCTGGGTGAACTGGAGGGGAGCCATGGTGACTGTTGTGAATCCGTGGTGAAGACTGGGTAGTCTTGGACGGGAATGGTGACGGTGTTTGAACTGGAGCCGAAGCTGTGACTAGCCGTGGTGAAGTTCAGGTCTTCCTTTACAGGGAGAACTGAGGACTCTGACGAGTGATGAGTGGGGAGTTTGCAAACTGCTGGTGGGAGTAGGGACTGAATTTTGGCGGTTGGTGCGCAAACGCGGGAGCTTTAGGGGAGCGTGTTTACAACATCTTGATGGATGTTGATGGTAGTTTTGTCTGGGCTGATGAGTGCATTTGGGTTGGGGAAGAAAAAAAAGAGGGAGGGGACTGGATGGAGGAGGGGAAGCGCAGCCTTCCACTTTTTGTAATTTTCAGGCAGCAACAGGCCAAACACCAAACCCTCAAAGGGCGTGGAAGGGCGTGTGCCCCGGCTTGCTGACATGAGCAGCCAGCCGCCTGGCTGGGATGTAGAGCGGGGCAATTGCCAGTGACTCATATCCGGGAGTCTGGTCTTGACCTAACAAACCTCGAGTTTTATCCCCACTGTGTGCGGTCGTTCCATTTGTGTGCCTCTGCCTTTGATTCCTCGTCGACAATCGCATTCTTTAACCTTTCGAGCTCCAGTCCTCTTTCTTTTAGTTTTCTAGTAACCGAGGTCAGGCTTGCTGGTATTTTGGGTTCTGTCTCTATCTTTTGGCGGCGTGGCGTGGCTATTGTTTCTGCTGGCGCACCCGATATTTCTTCCCATCATGTTTCCGCCCTCGTGGGCCGGAAGGAAACAAACAGCCAGCCGCACAGTCCATCTGTTAGTGGGGTTCCTGGGCGTCGTGTTTCCACGATCGACCCTCCCACGCGCAGGCCTCAGGCCCACACACAACCTTGAACAGAACTCCGCCCCCTGGAAGCAACGTGCACCCAACCAATCCGATCCTGTCGCAAGTCGCTGCGAGGCAATGGGCCTTGACCAGATGGAGCTAGGCCGCGCCGCCGGGGACGCGACGGTTTGCGCTTCGTTTCAATAGGTCACCGCCGGTCAGCTGGAAAAGGAAGGAATCGGGGCTCGTTCGTGAGGGAAAAGGGCGGCGTCCGACATGGGGAGAAGTTGACAGATGACCAACTGAGGAGCTCCTCCCCGACCAGCAGGCAAGCGCACACAAACTGCTGGGCGGGCTGCATACCAGTCGATGCCTCTCGCAGGCAGCCCCATCGCCAGCGAGCAAGGAAATACGAGGACTTTCGCATTCGCCCGAGCCTTGGCCTTGCCGCCTGTCTGCATAGGGGTGCCCCGTGGACGCCTGGGCTCCATAGGACCAACAATCAAGTCCTATTCCCGGGCGGACAGCACAGTCCTCGATCCTGGGATATTGCACCATGTACGGTTCCAAGCAGGCACGGCACGCAACCCCCACGGTCTGGCCTTTCACAGGGACAGACATACGTAGCATGCGTACGTAGCAGGTAGCAGGCACGAGATTTGGACCTGGCTGCCTGATTCTCGCCTTCATCCTGCCGTCCGCTTCTCACTCTCGGCAGGCTATCTGTCCATCACCCACCCACATCCACACACTGGCCGTGTCGCCTTCCTTCCATCCCGCTCTTCCCCATTTGAATGCGGAGTCCTTCCGCCATCCAAGAAGCTAGCGCGATGTAGAGAATGCGCGCGCTGGAACACAAATGGCGCAAATTTCCCCTCGACGCGACTGAATCGCAACAATCAATTGGTCAATTGGAAACGACCGTCCTCGAACCCCGGACGGGGTCGACATTGTGAGTCACTCTTTCGTGGAGGCTGGTTGCTTGCAGCGGACCCTGGCAGTCTGGCTGGGGTCCATCCCGCTATACTGGCACGGACGCAGGAGCAAACCCACTGTTGTTTCTTGAGGATGGAAAATTATGGGTGACACGGATGGAGAACCCGAACTCTGGCATTGAACAGAGTTTCTGCAGGCCACTGCATGTGGATGCGACGAATAGAGAGTGGGGACTTGGGTAAGATGGACGGGTCAGACGGAGAGAAGAACCGCCGGCTCGATGTCCTCTCTCTCTCTCCGCTGCAATATATCCCATGCTACTGAGTCTTGCCCAACTCGCGAGCAGGCCAATAAACACCAACGCGCCGCCGACGGACAGACGGTCTGCATATAAACGGGGTAGCAAGAGGCAGGCTGTGTCGTGTTTCTCACAGAGCACCTGCGGGTGAGGAACAGCGCCCTCTGTCGCTCCTTCGTCCGGCGACACTCCGTCCCCGACCAGCACGCTGAAGGCGCCAACTAATCCACACCCAAGCAAGGCCCCCCGGTTGCTCTCGGCAAAGACCGGGTCACGGAACCAGCTCCTCCACGGCCCCGTCCCGGGATTTTCTCTCCACACCCACCCTTCCGCGCGTCCAGCTACCGAGTTCCTGCTTCTGAGCGGGTGTCGCGTGCCCCGTCGCCGTCGTGTGGATCCTACCCGAGCCTCATGCTGACGAGGAAGGGCTGTTCCAGCATACCTCCTCGCGTCCGCTCTTCTGCACGATCCCGATTCCATTTCATCGCCGCAGCCGTGTGACGCCCGGTGCCCCCTTGGGCGTCTGCCTGCTTACCCGCCTCGGTGAATGCGCCGATAATTTGGTCCCTGCCAGGTCTTGTCGTTTTTGTCGTCCCAAATGGTAGACTGGGACAAGCGGACCATGACCCCGAGCTCGGACAGGGGTTTAAAGTCAGTGCGGTCGATTTGGGCGCTGGAGGGTAACTGATGGACTCACGCCTGCCACTATCTACTATGGACACTATTATTTTCCTGTCTCTACCATTTCCAACGTGTTCTTCATTTACAGTGACCCTTGTTCGTCCCTCTTGTTATTAAAAGACCCATTTCCAATATACCCAAGGTGAGCGCCTAGCTGACAAGGAAAACTGACATCACAATCCTAATTTAATGGACGATGCAGAATATTCGCGCGTGACATCACATTATGAACGTACCCAAGAAAACGGGGATGCCTCGAACAAGGAAAAGGACAACAAAGAAAAATGGCGCTAGATCAACCCCTGAAAAGCAGCGGTTGCATCAGCAAGTGCCGTCGATTGGCAATTGCACCTCGGTAGCGGGAGCGTGCTGCTTTCCCGGGTCCTGCAAAGGCGGCTCGGCCGTAGCCCTAGGAGCACTGGTTTTGACCAAGTACTCCTTCAGAATCTCGTCCTTGCGGCTGACGGCAGGCCATTCCCTGTTGCCGGCCCCCACGGCCGCCTCGGCCTCGGCGAGCCACTGCTGCCAAGGCGGCGTCGTGGGTGCGGCGCCGCCGCGCTCGGCCCAGCCCGTGACCCCGGTCTCGCGGATGGCGTACCAGAGCGTGCGGGTGAAGCTGGGGACGCCCTCGCGCTGGTCGTACTTTGATAGGTGGTCGTCGTCGAGGAGGCTGCCGTGGGCGTCGCTCGCGTCGTCGGGCGTGGCCCACTTCCAGTCGTAGCGGCCCAGGTCCCAAAAGTCGCTGGGCGGCAGCATGCTCAGGGCCCAGTAGAGGGCGTTGAGGATGATGTACGAGGCGCCGACGAAGAGCTGCATGTTCCAGGAGCAGTTGCCGAGCAGCACGGTGCTGAACATGAGCATCACGGTGCCGAGGCCCATGAGCAGGCGGTAGACGCGGCTGTCCTTGATGCGGTAGTCGCACTCGGCCGTCGAGAAGAGCTCGCGCCCGACCTCCTCGCTGCACCGGACCAGGATGAAGGCGCCCTCGCGCGTGCGGATCACGACGTCGCCCTCGGGCACCCGGTTGGTGTGCGTCCGCTTCATGAGCACGGGCCGCCACCAGCTGGCCCAGCCGACGATGCTCGACTGCAGGCCGATCATGCTCACGGCCAGCATGGCCGGCCCGTCGGTCCAGTACCAGGCCATGACGAGCAGCGCCACCGTCACGAGCATGGAGAAGATGCCGAGGACGTGGATGGGGCTCCAGAGCTTTGCGGGGATCGCGGGACGCTCGCGGAGCGTCGCCAGGGTGGGGTTCGCGATGAAGTCGGTCATCTTGTCCTTGGCCGTCGGCCGTCGGCGCAGCTGGTGGTGGTGCGGGGGCCCCGCCCCGCCCTTCTCCGGATCCACGTCCGCGTCGGTAGACTCCTTGAAGGTGACGGAGCGGCCCGTGGACCGCGCGGCGGAGGGCCCGGGGCCGACCGCCGTGGCGCTGCTGTCCTCGGCTTCCAGTGAGGGGGGGCGCCGGCCCAGCATCCCGTGGCCCGCCGCGCCGCCCTGGGACGTGCCCGTGTTCTTCCTGCCGAGGCGAAAAAGCCGGCGGACGTAGTCCATGGCCGAGGGGGAGCCGTGGGACGGGGACCTTTTGACGACAATGTCGCCGGCGGCGTTGGCCTCGTCCTTGTGCTTGATGTTTATGACGCGGAACTCGAACGGCTTGATGTCGTCAAGCTTGATGATGATGTTTGCGAAGAAGGCGACCGAGTCGAGCGCGACGCCGCTCTTGACGCCCGTGACCTTGGCCGCGGTCGACGGCATGCGGTGGGGCCGGACGGGCTTGAGCAGGGCCTGGGGCGCCGGCAGGATGCGGGGCAGTAGGCAGAGGGCCGACGAGGTGATGGTCTGCGAGTGCTCCGCCATGGACGACTCGCCGATGACGGCGAGCAGCGTGATGATGTCCAGGCGCCACTCCGAGTTCTCTACGCGGTCGTTTGGCAGCGATGGGAACCACCTCCCCACGCCCGCGATGCGGGCCGACTCATCACGGGCCATGGCTGTTGATCAGGTCTTGCAGACCAGGAGACAATCAAGCAACAGGGGGTTACTGCACCTTGACTGCGCTAAAATAAGATGCTAGAACGCTTGAATGCGGTTGACCAGCAGCCCCGACAGGCGTTGGCTTGCAGCGGGATAAAAATGAAGCGGGGATAAGAGCATAAACCTGGAGACTGTTGGGTATGATATAGAGGCAAGGAGATGAATAAATCTTGAGCCAAGAGGACGGCGGCGAGTCTAGGGGTCTCCCTCCTCCACAAACAGGCAGACAGGGTGGTATTTTAACTGGGTCTGGCGTCGTACGCTTGGTGAGGCTGCGCTGGTCTTGGCGTTTTCTGAGTGTCGGTTATTGCCGCTTGTGGCACCTATCGTGTTCCTTGATTGACGTTCCGCCGGTGAGTGCAACCGGTCGTTGGACGGGCACTGCCCAGGCCACTTCGTGTGGCGGTCGACGCCAGGGGGGCTCATCTGCCGCGACAAGGCTCTCGCTAGAGGAATAGTGCCACTGCCATGGCGTGCCGCCGCTGGGGCCGGCTCTCAGATGTCAACATTCGGGCAATTGGGGCTGAGTGAGGCTGTTGGGATGCAAAGGACATTTGACGTCGGATGCCATTGGCTTGCCGAGATCTTCGCTTTGACTGTGGTGGGGAAGAAGTCTTTTTTCACAGGGACAAAATAATCGAGAAAAAGAGCGGCAAAGGAGGATAAATTGTAGGAGAAATGGAAGAAAACAATCACAAAAAAGAGGGGAGTAGACAGAATATCAAATACGCAAGGCAATTGAGTCCGTGAAAATCGGGGTCAGTCTTGGCTTCCATTTTAGTGCTGTCACTTGGGCTAGATTAAATCATTAATCGCCTCTCTCACCCCTCATCTGAACTATCGTGAGCTCCGAAGCGGCCGCCATGGACAGGGCGCCAATCTACATCCTCGGCGTCGGCAACCTCGGGAAGCTGGTCGCCTATTACCTGCGGAAGCAGTCGCCGACCACGCCCGTGACGCTGCTCTTTCACAGGGACGGCCTGCTGTCTGACTGGGCCGCCGCCGGCCAGGCCATAGAGTGCGCAACCCCCGGCAACGGCGCGGCCGACAGGCGGACTGGCTTTGTCGTCGAGGCCCCGAGCCACCGCGCGCCTGCCCCCGGGGCGCCGGCGCCGCTACCGCCCATAAAGAACCTCGTCGTGGCCACAAAGACGTACATGACCGCCGCGGCCCTGCGGCCGCTGGAGCACAGGCTAGGGCGCGACTCCAACGTCCTGCTTCTGCAGAATGGAATGGGTACGCGCTATAGAGGGCTTTCCATGACAGCGTCCCCATCATCGTCATCATAGCGTCGGCTACACGGCTACCTGGTCTGACAATCAGTCATCCGAGGGAAAAAAAGGCACCGCAGAGGAGCTCTCGGCGACGCTCTTTACAGACCGCGCGTCGCGCCCGGCCTACTGGGCGGGCATTAGCAGCGCCGGCGTCTACGGGACGGGGCCCTTCTCCATCGTGCACGCCGGCCGCGGGCCCCTGACGATCGGCAGGGTCCTTGTGGATGACAACGACGACGAAAGCGACAGTGGCGAGCAGCAGCAGCAGCAGCAGCAGCAGCGCCACGACGCCCCCGGGACCATGATCCAGCGCCTGCTCGAGGCACGCGACCTCGAGGCAGCCCTGGCCACCCCGCAGCGGCTCCGGGCGGCGCAGCTGCGCAAGCTGATGGCCAACGCCACCATCAACCCGCTCACGGCCGTCTTCGGCTGCCGCAACCGCGACGTCTTCGCCACGCCCGCCCGGCTGGAGCTGCTGCGGCTGCTGGTGGCCGAGACGGGGCCCGTGGTCCGGGCTCTGCTCGGCGGCGGCGGCGGCCCCGACGACAACAACCACGACGGCGAGTTCTCCGACGAGCGCCTGCTGGCCGCCGCCCTGCTCGTCGCCGAGCGCACGGGCGGCAACGTCAGCTCCATGCTGCAGGACGCGCGCGCGGGGCGCGAGACCGAGGTCGACTACATCAACGGCTACGTCGCCTCCCGCGCCGCCGCCCTCGGCCTGCCCGCGCCCCGCAACGCGGCCCTCGTCGCCATGGTGAAGCGGCGCGAGACGGCGACCGAGGATGAGGTTATAGAGCGCTTTACCCGCGCAGGCCTCGCGAGCGCATCGTAGCTTTCCTACCTACCTACCTACCTACCCATATAGTTACGGAAAGGAATTGAAAAAACGAAGGGAAAGCGTGGGAGAAAAAAAAAGTCGAAAGCACTGTAATACACTATGCGGGCACTGTACCCCTAATGACCCTGGTCGGTGGCCGACTTCAACGTTTTCTACCCTTATAGATGGTAGTCAGCCGCTTGAGTGCTATCCCGACGGACCTGAACAATACCCGTCCGATCTCGTTGTTATAGAACTTGCATATGTCGATGTGATCTCCTGCTAGGATCTGGTTGTCCGCACCCTCGAGGAAAGCATCAGCCTGGCTCACAACCTGCGTGGATAGAAGCACCGGTTAGTAGGGGCTGGCGCGCGTTTAATAGCGGTATCCAATAGTGGGCAGTCTGATTTGACTGACCATCCCGCCTAGCCCATTGGTGGCATGTTCCTCGAAGAAGTTGACAACGGAAACGTTGAGGGACTCAAGAACGACTTGAAATTCGGTCGTGACGTGGATGAGGCTCTCGCTATTAGACTTGATATCTTTAATCATCACGGGGCTTGGTGGCGGTGGCCTTGCTGTTAACATTGCCAAGGGGCCTGGGTCTGGCCTGCCCTGCAGGATGGCATGCAGAATACGCTTAGCGAATATCTCCCCAGCACCTGGGTCGCCCAGATGGTGGGGTGTGGCAAAGAAGATCTGGGGGAATACCAATCCAGCTGATTAGCCGCGTTCTTTTTTTTCCGCAGGGAGTCCTCGTTTAGGTAAGTCGATGGTAGGTATTAGCTGAGCTACTTACGATGCCACAGGTTGCGTCGGCAAGGTACGTATACTCTGGGTCGAGATGGGCCAAGATCAAAGCCTGTATTCACGTGTCAGCGCAGATAGCAGCCTCATGCCAAGGCCGTTGCAAGCTTACCTGCTTGATGCTAGTTTGCACGTTAGCAGGAGCTAAGCACCGGCACAAGTAACAATGGGGACATACATTACGCCGCCCAGGCTATGGCCCACAAAGATGATGGGTGTTTGTTTTTCGTAGTCGAACCCGCTTGGGCGTTTCTGCCCGAGTTCCTGAAGGAGCATCTGGGCACGCTCTTCGGTGCCGGCACGCGAGGTTGTGCCTGTGATGGTGCCGTTGTAATTGTAGCACAGGACGCGGGCATCGGGCATGTACTTTGGCAGCAGGTCGCGAGGCCATACGGTCCCGTCTTCGGCAGTCCACGTCTTGATCCCGTCCACGTCTCCATAGTCTCGCATGGAGTTGAGGCCATGGACCAGAACGACACTGCCACGCGGCACCGTGTGTAACGGCGTTAGCCAGGGCTGTTTATTTGCTGTCAGTGTCTGGCTAATGCACTCACTCAACATCCGGGAGCTCTGTTCCGTGGTTCCCGATGACAGGATAGAGTGTTGCTAGTGTCCTTCCGTTTGTTAGGTGTGAAGGGGCTGTGGCGAACGTTTGGTCGATCTGTAGGGCGGCCAAAATAGTATCCTGGTCCTGCTGGAGCTTGGCAATGATCGTATCGATATCCTCGGTCTCGAGCGGTCATGTCAAGGCGCGCATATCTATGTGTCTCATTATTTGACCCCCACGACCCGTATTCAGCTCTTCTACTAGCTCTGTACAAACACGATCGAGTAGCGAATGGGTGCCTGCGAAACCTTTACACAGATTTTGAACGGTTTCGAGTCCAAGGCCACGCGAACCTCGTAAAATCTGCTTCTTCGCCCTCCGAGTCCTCGCCAGTTGTTTTATTGACACCTTCATTCTCGGGTCGAACGTACCAGCCTTGATGCTCGAGCCGATGTAGATGTGCTTGATACGCCCCGGATTTGGTTAGTTCCTGCAGGAACTCATCTTCTTCAACCGGGAGTTCATCGTATTGTCTAGGCACGCCATAAAAATCCACGACGGCGTCAGGGATGTGATCAACCTGCGGCATGTCCACGGCTTCGAGCACCTCTCCATCGAAATCTGGCATTTCGGCATCCTCGGTAGACACAGTATCTGCTGCTGACTCCCGGGCGGATTTAGTGGAGGGCACTTCATCGCTGTCCCCGGCATCGACCGAAACACTGTTTGCGTGATCTTGTGTCTCTTGGCTGTGATCGTCGGATAGAAAGGCTAGGCGGATGGTTAACAGCATCAAAGCCTGTAGATGTGTTGCGATATGTCGCGCCATCGTCTTGGTATTATCAGCAGTTAGCGTGAGCCCGGGTACGTCGAGGGAATCGTCTGACGCGTCCGAGCCCTGGTCGGTTTCCCTCTCTAGCTTGGGATGCTTTTTAGCAAAACTTGTCCTGCTGCTTTTGTTGCCGGCCTTGTTGACAAGTTGCTCCTTGCGGCGCTTGGGCGGGGGCTCTGTTTCCTCGACCTTAAAGCAGCAGAAGAGACATTCGTCCCACGGCCTCGGCCGTTCTACTTTGCTTTGTCTGGCGATCGCTTGAAGCTGCGACTCGGGGAACACGTCTCCGTGAGCTTGCACCAGATGGCCGTGTAAAGCTTCTGGACCTGTGTGTATCTCAGGGCTGTCGTCACACAACGCGCAAATCCAACCGGACGTTGGGAATGCTCTCTGATGCCAGCGCCGGTTGTGCTCTTTCATGTGAGAGAGCCACAGTGCAAAGCTCGGGAAAGCCGGATGGCCATCGGAACACGCGTCAGAAATGCACGTGTAGGGCTTGAGATCCTCATCGACATGTCGCCTGCTCCGGCCCTACCGCGTTAGTTACCGCAAAGAAATTTTAGAACGATTCAGGAGGGATTATAAGACGCACCTCCAGTCGCTGTCGTTCATGTCTTGTTTCCCAATGATTTTGCCGCACCATTCACAAGTGAAGAAGTTGTCGTCTCTTCGAGATGGTCGCCGCGGGTAGTTTCCGTGGCCGACTTGGACCGACGAAGTTCCCTGGCGTCGTTCCGTCGGAACCTGGAAGTTGTTGGTTCTGTGTAGGGTCAACCTCAGCTGCTGGCCGTTGATAGTTGAGAGATCTGATTGAGAGGCGGCAGAAGATATCCTGGCGATGTTTGTATAGCCTGAAGTCTTGGGTAACATTTCTTGACTCGTACCGCTGGCTAATTGTCCAGGTGAATATCGGCCTGGGTCACCTTGGCGTTCTTCATCGATCGTAGGCATGAAACCAATGGGTTTTCCGGGGCGCCGTGACTGCAGCTTATCGTCACGGTACTTCCTAAACAGCATTGCGGCGTATCGGTCCACCATGGTCTTTCCCAGGTATTGCTGGAGCGATTGATGGGCGTTCGGGTAGAGTTGTTGGACCACGGCTTGCGAGACGGCGGCGAAGGGCCCGAGGTCAAGACTTGCAGCAAACCTCTGTATTTTGACATCTATCCCGCCATGGGATAATTTGCGGATCGTGACGCCGAGCCTGTTCAGCCGGGTAAGGGCGGCATCGATGGCAGACAAAGCCTCGTCTCTTCGAACATCATCTTCGGCTTGTGATAGGCCGTTTGCCCCACTGGCTTCGCTGGCCCGCATGACTGGGAGCTGGTTAGTCATGCGATCTAAAGGGATCGGGGCCGTGGGTAAACAACCTGATAATAGCACTGACACTGGTGAAGACTGCGCCGCAGAATACCCAAGAGGCGAGCAACGAGATCCTGTATATCGGCATGATTTCGGAGTCTTGTGTCGAGAGACTGGCTCCTGCGGGCAAAGACACCCAAATGGGCCGCCCATATTGCAAATCTTTGCTGGTATTCTGCGACGAGGTTGGCCACAGAGAGAGAGGACGTCTGCGCTCTGAGATTTGCAGATTGGGTATCGAACAGAGCTTCACACTCGCAAGCGAGATCATACAACACATCGCCGTCGTCGTCCGTTGTGTTCATCGTGCGCCGTAGCAGATTTCAGGCTTTAATGTTGCGACTCGAAGTCTTTCATCAGCCTTCGGCGTAGGAACCTATAGAGACGGGTCAAAGGAGCAACCACGCGGGGTCGGCGAGGAGGTTCAACGTCCAGAACGAACAGTCAGGCTTTCAACCATTGCAGCCCAGAGAGGAATCCTGCGTGGCGCAAGCACGTGGTTTACCCCGCATTCGCCGCGGGCATGATTGAGCCAGGCGCTCAGTTCTCCGATCTCATCGTCGTTCCGCGTTCGTTCCGCAATTCTCGACAGCATTGCCATTGGAATCACCACTTCCCTGACTGTTCAGGTTCCAGAGGCAATGCCGTACCTTATTGAATGCAATGAATGGCGTCTCCTGCAGACCCTGGGGCCGTTGATCAACCAGAGAAAGTCGCGATTCAACGTCCACCTGCTCAACAGCCTCGATTCGAGGCCTGAAACCCACGGCACTCGCCTCCCAAACCTCACAGCCGAACGCTTTGAGGTGGAGGTGCGGCTCATCTTTCTTCTACCAAAGGACTGCTTCCGTGCCCTGTCCACGACCGAGTTCGACGAGTGTGAAAAGAGGCTAAAAGGCGTATGCGAGCTCCTGGACCGGATTGTGCACCCGCGACATGGAGACAGCCAGATCCATGCCGCGGAGAACAAAGCCGGCTACTCACGCCTCCGCTCGCTTATCCGGTTGCTGGAGCATTCCGAATCTGACGAGACGATCGACTTGACAAGCGGCTCACGGCCAACATTGTTCAAGCCACCTGACGACCCGGCTGACCTGGAGGTAAGCCTGGCATTGGTCGCTGACTACAACAACTCGCTTGCTCGGCTCTTTACATCTCTGGCTCGGGAAGGTAGGGTTCGTCCCATATCGAAGAAGATTCGGAGAAAGACTTGGAAGGACCCAAGGCTACGCCGCCGAGCAACCTCCGCGCTCGGGGCAATCTTCGAACGCCTCGGATGCGGGATGGGCCACGAAGTGATGTTGAACGTCTCGGAAGACGCCGACGACGGCGCGGCCGTTCCCAGCTTGGACCTCAGGCTGTCTTCTTGTACGGACTCGACCCCCTGCCTGGACGCCCAATGGCTACAAGTGCGGTGTGGCTCTATCGATTCGTACGTTCCCCTGGGATCCCCCAGAAACCAAACATCGACAAGAGGCTGACTCGGTTTTAGGAACTGGAACGCCTCTGTCGCAGAAATTCAAAACATATGTCTCGACCTCGGGAATCGTATCGGCCGGGGCGAAGCATTAATCCTACTCCTCGAAAAGTATGGGCTCTTCGGCGCGTGGACCCCCCTACAACTAGCACAGCCCTTCTCGGCGCCGCCAAAAGAGAACCTCGACAAGCTCATCTCAAGCGGTGCTTTCAAACGACTAGACCTCCTCACCTTGACGAGGGGATCTCTTCCGATAAGATATAGCATACGGGAAAAGAGGGCGTTGGCAGTCCGTCTCGGTTATTGCCTGATGGATTTCTTTGACGCCGACCTAAGTTCCAAAAGTATCTACTTCCTCAGTTCCACGAAGGCTTCTTGTTCCCGGACCCGGAGTGAGACGCTCTACTTGTCGTTCGCCTCCGGCCTGCCAGCCACAACCGAGTCCCACGTCTTTCGGATTGGGCATCCGACCCTCTTGTCGTTTGCCAAGCTCCTACTGGAGATCGACTTTGGCCAAAGCATCGACCTCAACATCAGCTCTGATGACGACAAGGCCAACCGAGTAATATGGGCCGAGCTGTGCAACGTGGTCGACCAGCTCGAGGAGGAGCGCAATGACAGTTACCTTCAAGCTGTCAGGGGTTGCCTGATGGCACATATTCAGATTTCGAGAGCCTTGAGAATGGGTAGCGCCGACGAAAGGGATGCGGAGCTCACCATCCGAAAGGAACTTTATAGAGAAGTTGTCGAGAGGCTCGAAACTGCGCTCGCTGAATCCACCCCTCGCGCCGGTAACAAACGCCAGCGGTCCAAGTCCCCGGAACCGACACCTCGAACGAAGTCCCGTTTCGGCATTAGAGACGAGCGGCAAGAGCCTTCCATCGATGCGTCTGATGTTCGTGCAAACGCTCTGTCATGGCAGGCTCCTATCCGGCCAAATCCCGCCTGGGGGGGCAGGCCAGCGTCCAAGCGACCGCGGATGCCCAACACCCCGGAAACCGAGAGCACAAGACCAAGTCGGCTTGGTCTATCCAGCAGCAGTCTATTACTGGAGTCCACCGAATCCAACCCACGGTGGCAACCAGAGCGAGAAGCGTTATTCCACAGTGCTATCGTTCCCAAGATGTGGCTGAGCGAACTCATGAAAATCAGCCGGCAGGTGGAGAGCAAGCGACGTAAGTGCCGAATTGCGGCCCCGGTTCGAGTTGCCATCCTGGACACGGGGCTCGATTGGGACTTCCCCGTCTTCAGGGAAAGGAGTGGACTACTCAAAAGCGTCACGGACGTGAAGGATTTTGTGACACCGAGCACACAGACCGTGACAGACGTCTTCGGCCACGGCACCTTCATGGCGAGACTCATCATGGAGTGTGCCCCGGGTGTGGAAATCCTAGTGGCTCGTATCGCAGAAAACACAAACGAGCTCAAAAACAGTCAAGCAAACATCAAGGAGGTGAGAGAAGCACCGGCCACAACGCCCTCAACGCATAAAACTTACACAATGGTTGAATAGGCAATCCTCTGGGCCGGGCAGGCCGGCAAAGCAGACATCATCTCCATGTCCTTCGGCTTCCCAAACGACGACCAAGGGATACGCGAGGCCATCGAGACGGTGCAGAAGGGGCGCGACGAAAACATCATATTCCTCGCCAGCGCCGGAAACTCCTCTGCAGAGGACGAGAGCTTCCCAGCCCGCCATCCTTCCGTCATATCCGTCTACGCGACGAACTGCCACGGGGTCTTTTTGCAGTCAAACTCGGCGAGCACGAGCAATGGCGCCGCTGTGCTCGGCACATACGGCGACGACATCCCGGCCGCCATCCGCGAGGAGTTCAGGACCACCTACCCGAAGGTTTGCGAACCTGGGTCGTCAGTCGCCACTGCCATAATGGCGGGGATCAGCGCCACCATGCTTGCGTATGCCTCCGTTCTGCCTTCGCTAGTCCCGCTTCAGGAGGTGACGGTTCTCCAGCGCCTGTGGACAACCAAGGGCATGGAGGCGGTGCTGTATCGGCTAGCGCCAGAGGATCGCGACCGCCCGCGGCTCAGGGCCGTCAAGCCGATGTGGTTCTGGAAGAATAGGCCAGATGATCACATGCGGTACTGCGCTATTTGCGATGTGTTGTCGGACATCGACAGGAGGTTCCCGAGGCTGAGGGGGACGGGTTGAGAGGGGACCGACGACGGGACTTATCTCTTTACTAGCGAGGGCTTCCGTGCGCAAGCTGTTACGTTGGCGGCCAGAAGTGCCAGGGATGGTCCGCGAACGGCGTTGAGCGTAGCGTCGTCACTAGTCTATAGCAGAGGCATCTCTCCCGCTGAGACGCAGCTTATCGACGCCGAAGAATCGACCACAACGGCAGTCACTGTTCCCTGACCGTCCGCAAGATAATGGCATGACGGAGTTTCATGACGTCTTCAGACAGGGTGCCAGCTGATGTGTTGCGCGCTGACTGGCTACAGCAACTCGCTGCCAATAACGCCCAGAGAGCTGCTTCTGCCTTGACTGATGGGGGTCAAGGGAGGCTGAATCCCTAACTTGGACATCCCCGCATGCCCAAACATCCACGCTTGCACACCCGACGGCTACGCCTCCTCCGCTCCCCACACAATGACAAGCAAGACCTGGTTCCTCCCTCCCGACTTCACCTTCCTCCCCGACGGGCAAATCGCCCTGGGCAATGTCATCCCCGACCCCAGGCGGCCGACCGCCACACTCGCCTCCCTCGCCTCTCACCCAACCATCGTGCTGCCCACAGCCCAGTCCATCGCCGAGAAGAACCGCAGCTTCACGGTCGAGAAGAGCCGGTCCTTTGGGCCCAAGCTCTTGGCGTTGTTCCTTGACTTTGCCGGCGCCAACGGCAAGACCGACCTGTCGCGGCACAAGAGCCAGTCTTTTTGGCGCCGCGGACCACGAGGTGCTGCGGGCGCGCAACGGTAGCTTCTCCCCTCCGAGGCGTTGGAGGCGATCGTGTGTCTCTACGGCGTGAAGAAGCACATCCGCAGCGGGGCGGTTCGGCCCGCGGCACGTATACGTCATCTCCGGGTTGCGCTTGGCGCGGCAGAGCTTCATGGCTACGGACGAGCAGGAGAAGAAGACGAAGGTCGACGTCGGGGGTTTCGGGGCCTGTACCTGCTGGCACTATGCCCTTCCAACTGGAGGGCAATTTCTCGAGGAGTAGGATAGGAGACTGGACGGCTACGAGGCGGCGCTGGGGATCGTGTTTGTGTATCGGTTGCACGTGATTCGGCCGAGGGAAGCAGGTGCGGAGGCGGAGCTATTTTCGGACCGGACGATCTTCTTCAGCGGCGGGGCTGAAGCTGAGGAGGGGGAGGTGATGGAGGCCGTCCAGGTGGATGGGGCGGTACTTCGGGAGAACCTGGACCTGGAGCCAGATGGTTACGAGGAAAATGAGTCTTATGTCGTGCTCAGATCTGCGTCTTGATCAACACCGCGATACAAAGCCCGGCCGTGCGGAGCCAGGCATCGGCGAGACCTTGATCTACGATAATATCACGGTTGGCCAGGCGCGCATTATAACGGGCAACGTCGAGAATTGGCGTAGGACAGCTGGACGAAAACTACGATTGCTGATAACAAATTTGGGCAAGATGAGGATAATGACAGGCAATCAGGGCGGCGATGCAGCAAGAGGTTTCAACGCCCAGTGCGCCGCATGGATCGCCACAACACGGGGGAATTTCCTCTTGATTCCCTGAATGGCGTGGCTGGCGGCCCTATCGGAGAGGCAATCATGCATCCACACCACCCTCACCCACTCACATATCGCCATTGATATACATTGCAACCCGAGGGGCTGTGCTGGCCGTAAGGGTGTGACTCAACCCTGCCGCCGGGAGAGGTTGGGGCCAATGGTATTCCTTTGTTGCACAAGCCTGCATGCCTCATTGCAGCCTGACCCATCCTCAGCCGCCATGTGCGCGCGCCCGGCTTTAAAGGCCACGGCGCACACCTGTCGGGAAACCCCCGAGCTAGCGCTTGCTCGGGCTAGCCACAAATCGAGGTGGAAAAAAAAGTCTTGTTGCTTGTCCGATTCGCCCCTGAAAGTCCCTCTCATCGAGGCCCAAGGTGGCTGCCCACCCTGACCTCTCGATCTAGGGATGCGGCGTTTTTGGGGCCACGTCCAGAATCCCCGCCGTCTTGCCAACTCCAAAACGCCCTAACCCCTCTAACAATATCAGGCTATCAAAAACTGTGGATTTATCAGAAGCCCGCCCTCGCTTCATAGCCCCTTATTGTGCTCCCAAACATGTATACAAACATGAAAAAAGGTCCAAAGAAACAGAAAGAGAAATATTACTTGTCCTGATTTAGACAGCGTTTAGACTGTACTGCTTTGCTATCCAGTCCTTGTCGTGTTGGTCTTGTCGAGGAGGACTTCGTATGTTTCCAAAATCCAGTCCAAGAACTCGTCCCATAGCTTGTTCCACTCATTGTAGACCTTGGTATGCTCGATCTCGTCAAGGCACGCATGTTCCAAGCTCCACTCGATCAGCTGGCGCCATCCGTGGAGCGTGAAGTCGTCCCTGCCTACGAAAACCTGGTAAAAGTCATGGGATAATGACGATCTGGCGGGAGCTTGTTAGACATTGAAATGACGCCAAAGCCAGCTGAAATAAGAAAGTAGCGTACCTAAACAGCGTTCCGTTGTCGCTGTTGACCGTGCAGTGCACATTGTTCGCCAAAAGGTTGTACATGGCATGGCCGCCGATTCTAGGCGTGAGGCCCAGGATCTCGTTGGAGATGGGGCAGACCTCGAGGCAAATGTTTTGCTCCTTCATCTTTTCCATTATGTATGGATGTCTGGAAAGCGAGAAGCCGTGGCCGATCCGCTTCGAGCCGAGCAGGAGCGCGTCCACGACGTTGCCGTCCGTATCGGTCCCCATCTCGAGCGTCTCTCCGCAGTGGAACAAAAACGGTATTTCCACGCGCTCCTTTTTGCAACTAGCCTGGAATTCGAGCAGGTTCTGCACATGGTCCCTCAAGGGCCTTCCGGCGCTCTCTTGACCGACGAGATCGAAGCCTGTACAATGAAGCATTTACCCGGTCAGTGGCGGCTTCTGTGAAGGGTCAAAGGCTCGAGTGTCCGGGCTCGCGGAAACCTACCAGCAATCATGTGGCCAGTTTTTTCCGAGAGCTTGAGTCCCAAGCACTCGACCAGAGAGTCCTTGATCAGATTGTCGGGGAAAGATCTTGGGGTGCAGTAAATAACCTTGATTCCTTGGAAAAATGGAGCGTCTGACCTCCTCCCCCAATTCTCGAGGAAACTATTGCATTCATCTGCAATGATCTTCATGATCTCGTAGTTGTCGTATAGCTGCTTGCCGTCCGTTGACCAGACCTGATTCGTATGCATAAAGTTGGGTCGGATCTCGGCGTACTGGATGTTGTCGTCAACGAAGTCCTGCAGACACTGCTGGGTGTACTTCCGATAGGCAGTCTCGTAGTTGAACAGGCCCTTCATCATCCTGGTGCGCCCATTAAACTTGGCCCAGGCTCTGTAGGGGCGGCAAACAGGAGCAAGGTTAGCGTTTTCGTGTGGAAGCAATATTCGTTCTGGCCACCACTTGGACTTACCCTTCAGCCGTTTGATGAACGCCGTGCGCCTCCTCCGCGTTGTAGACCAGCTTCCCCTCGAGCCACGCATCCAAATCCCGCCCCGGGAACTTGTGTGGGAACTCATCGCGAAAGTCTTTGTAACTCATCCACCGTATCTTGTCGGCTGGCTCCTCGCTCTGATCGAACCTTTCCTTGTCGAACAAGTTCACCAGAACCGGGGGCTTTGGCGGGTTCCCAATGAACTTCCTAGTCCAGGCCCGCTTAAGCCCTTTGCGAGGGCCTCCGGAACGGCCGCCGAGCTCTCCCCTGATGGTGAATTGTATTTCACACTCTTCAAGGTCACCTGTGTTCATCAGGGCCGTATTGCTTCCGATATCCATCTTCTCCTGGTCCTTTGCCAAGTTCAACAGAAACGTTGCCTCGAGGCACGAGTTGAAGTGCACGTGTAGGTGCGCGCCCTTTGGCATCTTGCGGGCCACGCGGAAGATGTCGGTTTTCTTTACGAGGTCCAGGTTGGTGAGATGGTGGTCGCTGGGGTGCCGCTTGTGCGGCTGATTTTGGTAGCCTTTCCTGGGCGGAGCGCGCTCGAAAAGCTCCTTGTCCTTTTGGCGCAGCAGCTGCAAGATTGCGTTCGCGTCGCGCTCCTTTTGGCCAGCCTTGGTGAAGCAGGCAAAGTCAAAGGCGAGCACCTGCTCTATCTTCGTTATGTTCTTGCGATCATTCTCGTACTGCTCCAGGGTCTCGATGTCGAGTTGCTGCCTCGGCGGCACGGCGCCACTGCGCTCCTTGACGGCGTGCTCGAGGGCGGGAAGCGTGCTCCAGTTGGTGGAGCTGATGGAGGGGGAACTCATGGCGTCCCCTTTGCGGTTGGACGCGGGGTGCGCCGGCAGGTCTGTATCTATGTCCATGCTGTCATGGCCCATGTCGCTGCTCTCGTCTTTGAAGCAGCGGTTCCCCATCGGCGCTGGTTGCTGGGACCGATCCTCGGGCTCTGTTGTCTTTTTGCGCCGCTTCAAAGTAGCCCGGGTGATGCGGCGACTGGGACTGGCGCTCATTTGTAGTCGGGTGCGAAGCCTTGACCCCTTAGGCAGTCATCTGACAGCTGCGCAGTCACACAAGCAGCCCGGGTGTCGCGCGCTTCCTCTGTCGATACAGCGTGACAGGGTCGGCAGACATCAAACTGCGACCGCGTGAATGGAGCTCTTGCGATGAGGGGATGCTCAAATTGCCATCAGACCCCGGCCAAGGGAATGTGAGGTGGGCGCAGCAGTGCCTTGCGGGCACCACAGTTTGCGACAAATTGATGGGGCTAGGCTTGCGACGGGGAATGACGAGAGACCCCGCAAAGTCGGCTGTACAGTGCCTGAGATGGAATCAGCGGGGCGGGTCTTGATTATCGATTTCAAGCATGGGTGGGTGATGGAGGCTGCGAGGTGACACCCAGGCTGATTCGCTCGCTGCTTTGCCGCTTCAGTTGTCGAATGCCTAACAAGGCTCAATCTCCGACTCCACTAAGCACAGCGAATACAATCAATACCCTACACCATGGAATATAGGGCCACCCACATAGCTCCCTCTAGTCATTCCAACGGACCTCCGCTACACGTGCTGGCGGACACAAGCTCTCTAGTGTAACCCACCGTCTGGGGAGCAGCAAAAGCTTCTGACCATCGACCGGTGCATCGCCCCCGGCACAGTCTGCCAAAGCACAGATGTTCCCAGGAGATCGGTCCGGCGAGTGGTGAGTCGAATAGGTAGCTATCTCCGTGAGTTAGCTCCGATCGACTAACTAGGAAATACACCGTCGTTCATCAGGCACATTTCCAGGGCTGTGTCTCTCTGTGCGACTCGGTTCTATGCTATCAGATGCCGATGGGATGGTTGCAAATCTTTGGATCGCCCTGAGGACACTGATGCAGCGGGCCTTGAAGATATGCCTCGCGTCAATAACTTCCCGGATAGGAGATCATCGGGGCCCTGCCCATCTTCTACTTTTGCATTGTAGACTCTTATCAGTCCATCGATTTTGTCAAGCTAGCACCAGAGGTCGTCGATTGCGCCACAGTGGACTACACTTTGCCGGGTTATATTGCAAGATAGATGCTGCGGGTATGGGGAAAGTTCTAGTAAGCAGGCATATATCTACCTACCCAAGTAGCCATGGTAGAGAAAAGCCCAGAAGCCGAGAATCAAGAACAAAAGCCACGAGCTAAAGTATATAGTTTTCCCACCGGAACTAGGGAAGACGAGACATGCTATTAGATGGAGGGGGTTCTAAGGGTGTATAGTGTGCACCAAAAAAGAATGTCGTCTATTCGCTTTCATTGTATTGTCGAGAAGGAGCGAGCGGGTATAAATGCTGCCACAGTCAGGATTACTGATGGCATTGAGTGCCTGAATATCTACTTATGTCTCAGAAAGGCCCGGAGCGTGGGTGACAGCATGTATCGGCTGGAGGTGGTGGGCATCTAGGTACGGTACTGCAAGGAAGAGGCTGCATGGTTTGGGTAGGGCTGATGGGTTCTTTGGGACGACCCCTGGTGACGTGGGCTCAGTTCGACCGCTCATGGCAGGGGTATGTGGGAATTTGTGGGGCAACCCACGTATCGGTGGGGACCAGAGTCAACGCAGCGGGCGGTCGCGACAGCTACGGCCGGAGACGCGGCAGCGACTGGCATTTCGCGAACAAATTTCCGGGCAGCTTGAAATCGCGACAACTTGGGGGCTGCCACCGACATGCACAGCAACCACAGTCGCATCAGAACACCATGCGCGTCGTCAAGCCTTCATGGCTGAGCCATAGCGGTAGGTGGCCTTCCCGCGTCCTCTCTGCCCAATGCGACCGTGGGCTCGCGCTTCCATTGACACTGACACTTTGTTTGGGCTTTCCGCAGGCGAGCAGAAGGACTTCGAAGTCTACAGCGTCCACGTTTCCCCAGATGGCTCAAGGCTTGCGACGGCCGGCGGTGGTAAGAGCTAGACATCCGAATACCTATGACGGGTGAATGCCGGCAAGGTCGAGTGGCTGACCATGGATACGTCTCTGCAGATGGCCACGTCCGCGTTTGGTCGACCGAATCGATATACAACTCGAACGACGAAACCTACAGGAAACCTCGACAGCTCTGCCACATGAGCCATCACCTCGGGACCATCCACTCCGTGCGATTCTCTCCCAATGGCCGATATCTTGCCTCGGGCGCCGACGACAAAATCATCTGCATCTACCATCTCGACAGCAACCCTCCTTCGCACACTGCCACGTTCGGTATGCATATGCCCCCGGGCTCACTATGAAGATCCCCGCCGCGCGCCTTCGTCCCTCACTGCTAATCTTGCTTTGTGTCACACAGGCACCAACGAGCCGCCGCCCATCGAAAACTGGAAGACGTACAGGCGCCTGGTCGGGCACGAGAACGATGTCCAGGACATCGCCTGGTCTTACGACTCGTCTATTCTGGCGTCAGTTGGTCTTGACTCCAAAGTTGTGGTGTGGTCCGGGCATACCTTTGAGAAGCTCAAGACGCTGGCAGTCCACCAGAGTCACGTCAAGGGCATCACGTTCGACCCGGCCAATAAGTTCTTTGCAACTGCAAGCGACGACAGGACCATTCGAATATTCCGCTTCACCCCGCCGGCGCCCAACGCTACCCAACACGATATGGTGAACAATTTTGTGCTTGAAACAACCATCAACACGCCCTTCAAGAACTCGCCTCTTACCACATACTTCAGGCGTTGCTCCTGGTCGCCCGATGGGAATCATATCGCCGCGGCCAACGCCGTGAACGGTCCCGTTAGTTCTGTCGCCATCATCGAGCGCTCTAGCTGGGACTCGGAGATCAACCTGATTGGCCACGAGGGCCCTACCGAGGTCTGCCAGTTCTCGCCCCGACTGTTCCATACGAAGGACCCAGCTCAGGCGAACGGGAACGCCAGCAGCCGCAGCAGCCACCTTGTCACAGTCATCGCATCGGCAGGTCAGGACAAGACGCTTAGCATATGGAACACCAATACCTCGAGACCAGTTGTCATCGTACAGGATGTGGCTGCCAAGTCCATATCGGATCTTTCTTGGGCTCCCGACGGCCAGACTATTTTTGTTTCGAGTCTTGACGGCAGCATCATTGCAGTCAAGTTTTCCGAAGGTGAACTTGGCTGGGTTGCCACGGCTGAGGAGAATGACAAGGCGCTGCAGAAATATGGCATCTCGAGGAAGGGCATGGGGACGGCCGAGGATGTCGAAGGACTGAACTTGGAGAACCATAGCAAGGCGGGCGAGCTCCGTGGTGCGGAATCGCGCATGGGGGCGCTCATGGGCGATGAAGTGGCCGCAGCGGCGTCAAAGACTCCTGGTACTACATCCACAAACGGCGTCAAGGCGACATCAACCGCAAGCTCGAACTCGACCGCAGCTGGGAAAGCTGCAGATGGCGAGACCAATGGCGACTCCGACGCAGCGAAAAAGGCCGACCCAAAAGATCCTGCAGACGAGAGCGAAGACCAGAAGGCAGAGCGGATAGCAGCCCTCAAGTCTCGGGTTACAATCACGAAAGAAGGCAAAAAGAGGGTTGCCCCTCTCCTTGTGTCTTCGTCTGGAACCGGTCAGTCCTCTCTGCCACAGTCCCATCTTGTTGGGACCGGATCGACCAAGGCGGCGCGAGACGATACTCCGCAGAGCATCCTAGATCTATCCAAGCCATATGATGGCCTCCCTAAGGGAGGGCTTGCGTCGATGCTACTGGGAAACAAGCGGAAGGCGGTAGCTGTGGAGGGAGAGGATGAAGACGAGAGCACCAACAAGCGACCGGCGTCAGGCCCTGTTCCTATCATGATCAACGGGGTTGATGGTCTTGAGCACGCCCAGGTGCAGGATGCGGCTGCAAGAGTGGTTGCCACGCCCGAGTTCTTGCGCCCGGCCGTGCTGAGCTCGTCGATATCCATATCCCAGATCAGGCTGGGCGTCCCCAAGGTCAGGTCACACATTCTCCGGCCCTTGGAGAGGGGCGTGCTGCAAGGAGAGAGCACTCTGGAGGAAGCTTCCAAAGTGCCCGAGAACATCATCCTGGAGGCCAAGAATCCGGAGATGGCAAGGGACCCCTCGCACATCACAGCAAGCAAGCGCGGTAGTGTTCTGTGGCATGACTTCGTGCCTAGGGCCGTCATGTTGGTGACGGGCAACAAGAACTTCTGGGCAGCGGCGTGCGAAGACGGCATAGTCTACGTCTGGTCGCCAGCTGGCCGGCGCTTGGTCAACGCGCTCGTCCTCGAATCCCAGCCCGTCATACTGGAGTGCCGGGAGTACTGGCTACTATGCGTGACGGCGGTGGGGTTGTGTCACGTTTGGAACATCGAAACTTGCTCGTCACCGCATCCACCAGTGTCGCTGGGGCCGGTGCTGGATCTGGCCATTCACTCGCTCAATCCGCATGCGGCTGTTCCAGGCCCGAGCGTGTCAGCCGCCCACCTTAACTCGGAAGGGCGGATCGTGATCACGTTGAGCAACGGCGACGGTTTCTTCTACTCGCCCAACCTGTACGCGTGGCAGCGCCTGTCAGAAACGTGGTGGGCCGTTGGCAGCCAGTACTGGAACAGCAATGACAGCTCCGTCAGCGCCCTGCAGACCACAGCTGTCGGCCCTGCGACGGCGGCCGCGCCATCGTGCACGTCGACTGGCGAAGGTGGCGTGTCGGTCTCGGCGGGCGTTATCCCGTTCCTGGAGCGGCACACGACCAACGAGTTTCTACTCCGCGGGCGGGCCTACACGCTGCAGCGTCTCATCAAGACGCTGCTCAGTCGCGAGGGATTCGAAGGGTTTGAAAGCAGCGTCAGCATTGCACATCTGGAGAACCGGATTGCGGGTGCGCTGCAGCTCGGGTCCCGGGACGAGTTCCGGCTGTATCTGTTCATGTACGCCAAACGCCTTGGAGCCGAGGGCCTGCGGCCCAAGGTCGAAGAGCTTCTCAACTCGCTTCTTGGCGGCGTGCTCCAGAACAAAGACGACGGCACGAGCACAAAAGCGGGCCCGGCCACCGACAATGGTTGGTGGCTGGACAAGGGAGATCAACTGTGCGGGTGGGACCGCAGGGAGCTCCTCAAGGGTGTGGTCATGATTCTGGGTAAGTGGTCGATCTGGATCCGAGCTTCTGATCTTATCCCTGCACATGTCTTGCACGCCCGGCACTTCTTTGCTGACAACATATCTTTCTCTTCTCTAGGCAAATTCCGGGAACTGCAGCGCTTGACGGTGCAGTATGCTCGCGTGCTCGGTCTCACTACGGACGACGACGATGACGACCACGAAAACGATGTCGATCCCATGGCCATCGAGGCTTGAGCACATAGCTTTTGCAGCCGTTGACGCGGCTTTTTTTCTTTTGCTCCTCGAGTGAGAGCTGACGGCTCAGTGGCGCCCTTTGCGCATCATTCATCAAATCATGTCAAGTTGTTTGGCGTTTGCGGTTCTCTGGGAGGATTTTACTGGACAACAGGGATATTTCTAACTTTTCCTTTTGCACCAAAGGCGACACCCGTGGTTGTGCCTTTGCATTGCGTGCGTGGAAAGACTGTGTATGTGTAGATACCTCGTGTTTTTTTTCCACACCCTGTTTCGGCGGCCTCATTTTCTTGATTTTCTTTTTTCGCCGATTTTCTGGCGATGGCAAAGTGCCAGGGGAGGCAGACTGTTCCAGAGGTTTCTTGTGTGTATTATTTTGAACGAGCTGTGCTTACTAGTACACGTGGACCATAAGGCGTTGGTGCATATTACGTCATCGCAGCCCAAACGATGCATCGTCAAAAAATGCAATGCTTGCCTAGACAATGTTTGATGTGTGATGTTGCATAATAGCCCATCCCTGTCCTGCGCTTCTCCATATTTCTGTGCCTTCTCCAGTGCATATCCGGGGATTTGTTCTATCGTTCTCTAACCCCTGCCCTGCCCTGGTCTCCCATCTCGTCTTTTCCTCTTCTCATTTCGGGTGCCCCACGGCGCACTGATGGCCAGTTATCTCTGCCCTCTTTTTCCCACAACCCTCGTGATAGTCATCTTCCTGCTTCTGTGCCAACAACAAACGGGTTGGTCTTTTCGTCGCAATCAAACCAATATTTGGCTTTTTTAGGTCACCCACTTGTCAGTGATGCTTCCCGGAAGGGAGCGGGGCGGGCGTCGTTCGTCGTTCTTGGTCTCCCCCTTCCTCCCCTTCTGCTTGGGCTCTTTTTCTTTCCCAGGTGTTCAATTCCTGGTAAGGTTTTTAAAGTGGCTGCATGCCGTGCCAACACAAATGCCGGGGCTTAAATGGTGGCCAACAAGGGCCTGCGCGAGCCTCCATGGATGTCATGTCCCCAATGACCAGGGCAGAGATCAATTTGTCGACTGCAGCTAGCCGCAGGTCATCCGCTCGGCCCCTCTCCCCGGACGGCTTGGTTTGTCTTGCTGGTCCCCGCCCAGACATCAATGATCTTCGTGTCTTTTTATTCAATTATTGACAAAGGCTCGGGCAGAGCGGCGGGGCCGGGCGCAACGTCAACGCCTCGTCGGGCCTGGGAGAGAGAGGGTTCCGTGCTGTGCATGACGCGTGCAGAGTCACCTTTTGGAGTTACCTTGTAGAGGCCGAGGATGGATGCGAGTTCTGGGCGACGGAGAAGCTGGATTGCCGTTCTTGTGCCTTGTTCCCTTCTTCCCGCTGTCCCAAACTTTTAGGCCGCCGGAACCATTCCCCTGTGGACTAGAACCCCTGCGCTGTCTGTCCCCGATACCCTGGAACGCACACGCCGCTTGCCGGGGTTCCACCCCCATTTTTCTGCTCGTTTATAGAATCAGAGGTTCCCGTCACCTCTTTTGGCATGTGCGTCAACGTTCTTTTTTTTTCTCTCCCGCCTTGGGGTTGTTGCGAGTGAGTGTGTGCGGGAATATCCAAGATGGCTACAGCAGATGTAACGATGCCCAAGAGACCGGAGAGGGCGTCGTTCAGGATCAGCTACTGTAAGCAAACCGACCATCCATCTGGGCGCGCATGTTCTTAGTGTGGGAAGGCAGCTGCAACCACCGGCCCAAGGGCGGTGGGCGAGAGAATCCACTGGCTAACCGTTCATTCTCACACGAAAAAGGGGTCTATATTGACCCAAGCAACGCCAGGCTCTACAGCGAAAACCTCGCCCGGATCCTGAACTGGCCGCGCCGCCATGGGAAATACAGGCCCTTCGAGTCGCCCGCCGCCAGGCACATGGCCGCCGCTCCCGGCCACCACTCCCTCGAGCACCAAACGGACCTGATCCCGCTGCAGATCGACGCCGTCGGCGTGCCCATCCCCATCCCCGCAGCAACAACAACAGCGGCAGCGTCATCGAAAAAGCCCAGCAGCAGCGGCAGCTCGGCCGCCGCCGGGCTGGCGGAGCACAAGGCGGTCCGGGACTTTTGCGCCGACACGTGCGCGTCGCTGCAGGACCCGTGCGTCATGAAGCTCGTGTTCCGGCCTCACTCGGCGGCCTCGGGATCTAGGCGGCCGCAGACGCCAGCACCCGCACACGTCCCGCCCCCGCCCTGGACGCACATCAAGATCGAGCGGACCGACGTGCCCATCAGCGACCCGTACTACTACTGCGCCTACTACCTGCCCCCGACGAGCCGGTCCGTGCCCTGGTGCCAGAGGGACGACGAGCTGGAGCAGAGGCCGGGCATGAGGGCGTTCCGGACGCTGACCGAGGTAGGCAGACGGCGGGGGCTTCTCATCCCTGTTTTGGGGAGGAAAAGAAGAAGAGGGACGAAAAAAAGAAAAGCCAGGCTGACTTTGGTGCTTTGTGTGCAGATGGCAGAGAGTTGCCTGGCAACAGGGCCGGATTACGAGCCCAGCTTCTACAAGGGCAAAATCTCGATCCACGACAAGGCGGCGGCGTCTGTGCTGCACGACTTCACCCGCACCGGGCGGCGGACAAAAACTCAAATGGAGGAGATATGCTCCGGTGCGTAAAAAGACCCGGCCAGCATTTGCTGCTCCACCCGCTGCATATTTATACTTCTTGTGTGCCTCATTGTGCTGACTCGTGTCCACCCCCCCGGTCTCCAGGCGACGGCCCCAACGGCATCGAAGTCAGCGAGACGCTGCTGGCGCTGAGCCAGGCCATGCAGAACATCACGGCCCTGTTCTCCAAGAAGCACGACGACCACTTCCGGCCGTCCATAACCTACAAGTTGTCGCGGCGCTTCAACCTCGGCGGCTTCGGCGCCAAGCGCCACCACCTCCGGCGCGAGTTCGAGGAGCACCTGTCCCAGGTCCGACAGAGCATGACGGCGGCCGCGGCCCCCCTGCGCACTGTGGCCATCATGGCGCGCCTGAGCGGGCCGTACGGGAGCTTCTACGGGCTGACGGGCCTGTGCCCCAAGGACTGCACGGCAGCCGAGGAGGGCGCCGTACTCGCCCTCATCTGGGGGTGGTACCGCGGCTGCGACGACGTTCCGGCCTTGATACCCGCCGGCGTCGACCCCGTCGCCGTGGGGCGCGACTCGTTGCGGCGCGCGGCGGCGCACTGGCACGACGCGCACGAGACGGCGCGGGTGCACCTACGCCAGCTGGTGTGCATGTGGGGCGAGCTCGAGGACAAGGTCAGGAGCAGCAGCATGGGCGGCGGCTGGGCGGGCGTGAGGGAGAAGCGGTTCGGGCGGCGGGAGATGACGCCCGAGAGGAATGAGGTGGAGGCCATCTCGGGCCTCGGGACCGGAGCCCTCATGCAGCTGTTGAGGACGCCACCACCACCACCACCGCCCCCGCCACCACAGACCGGAAGCACCAGCGATAGCAGCCGGCGCCGTGGGCGTAATAGACGGCGGCGCGGACGCGTGTTCGGTACCTACAGCCCAAATCCCCACGACGGCGGCTGTGGGCTCGCCGGCATAAAAGAGGACCAGTGGCTGGCCAACGGCGGCACCAAGGCCCGATTTGTGGATGCCACGCCGGGCCGACTCAAGTCGGGCCTCACGCCTGTCCCCCGGTCACAGGCGGCGAGGCGAGTGGGAGGCTGAGTGAGAGTGCGCGCGCAATCTCGCCAACACGCTGGAACCAAGGAGCGATTGATTCGTCCCTTGCTGGAACTCGTGCCGGCACTTGCGAGACGAGACGTTCAACATTGCGTGTGCCACGCAGGTTGAGCAATGGTAAAACATTATACCCATACTAATCTGTTACGAGATGAACAATGAGACACGGCCATACATAGATTACATAGACGATCACGCGTTATTTAATGTCAAATACAACATAACAAAAAAGAAAGCTGAAAGACCTTTTACCAGACCAGCTCCGTGGAAGCGGTGGCGCCGGCGTCGACAGTCAGCACAGATCCCGTGATCCAGCGTGCCTCGTCGCCGGCGAGGAAGCGCACGGCGGTGGCGCAGTCCCAGGCGTTTCCTTCGGTGCGCAGCAGGCTCCGGTTCCGGCGGGACTCGCGCATCTGCGGGCTCATGGTGACGGTGAAGCGCTCGTGGTGCGCAGAGTCGTCGCCGCCGTACGCGACCATGGGCGTGTACAGCATGCCGGGGCAGACGCAGTTGACGCGGATGCCGTGGCGGGCGTGGTGGACGGCCATGGCGCGCGTCATGTTGACGACGGCGCCTTTGCTCGTTGGGTAGAGCAGGTGTGGCGTCCCGCCCCTCAGGCCCGCGACCGAGCCGATGTTGATGATGGACCCAGCGCCGGACCGGGTGCTCGCGGCCTTGTTGTTGCTGCTGTTGGACTGCTGCTGGTCGGCGTCGTTGTTGCGTCGCATGGCGGGTATGGCGTACTTGGCCATCTGCATCATGCTGGACACGTTGAGCTCGAGGCTCCTCGCCCACTCGGCGGGATCGACCTCGGTCGCGTCCCCCTTGACCCCGATGGTGCCCACAATGTTGACGAGGATGTCGAGGCGGCCCAGCTGCCCGACCGTCTCGGCGATGAGCCGCTCGCAATCGGGAGCAACCGTCACGTCACCCGCCAAGGCGAGGGCGTGCGCCCGAGCGTCGCCACCTGCCAGCCCCCGCCCTCCGCCTCGCTGCTGGTGCTCCAGGCGAACCAGCCGGGTCGTCCGCTCGGCGCGGGCGGGCAGGATGTCGACGCAGACGACCGAGGCGCCAGCCTCGGCCAGCAGGACCGCTGTGGCGGCGCCGTTTCCCAGGCCGGCAAATCCCTCTTCGCCCTCGCGGCCGTCGTCAGCACGACTTCCCGCGCCCGTCACCAGTGCCACCCTGCCGGCGAGCGACCTGGTGGGGCGCCCGGGGTACCTTTGGTGCTCGGGGTGGTTGGCGGCGTCGGGCTGCCCAGACATGTGCCTCTCCGACGCGCGAGCACTACGGGCCCGGGCAAGGGACTGCAGTGAGGCGTGCGCCTCCCGACTGTTAGAATTATACGGGAACAGGGCCAATCGCAGGCGCGGGTGGGTGTTCCGGCCCTGTGTGACGGGGAGGGGGTGTGTGCGCAGCAGAAGCGCAGATTCGGGCGTGCAGGCCAAAGGGCGACAGTCCCCATTCGGAAAGATGGCGTGTAAAGGTCGCGCCGGAGCATGACTGATCGACGATGCTGCTGAGCACGTACCTTGCGCGTCGGGCCCGGCTGGGAGCCGAGGTTGGTGTGGCTCGGACCCCTGAAGGCCGCCACGGTCCCGGTCAGCCGAAGCGACCGAGGGGACCGACACAGCGAGGCGGCGAGCATGGTTTAGGGGCCTCGGGTGGGCGCTGGCCTTTTTAAATGTGCGGGGGGTCTGGCTGGCGGCTTCATGTTGTGTCCCGATCAGCCCAGTGATGACGGGCAATAGGTTAGCTCTCTGTGCGTTTGTGATCCTCCTGTGCGTGCCCCGAAATGCACGTCCCATTGGTGTCCGTGTCACTCGAGCCAATCCATCAACAAGCACTAACCTAGGTCCTATAGGCAGTCAGTCCACTTACACAGATCGGCAGTTCCCAAGGACGTCTTTGTCCGGTTCGCTTCGGTCAGACGCTCGCGGGCGCTATCTCTTGACCGCAACATCAAAAGTACCGGGCATAGCATGGGCTTGATTGCTCACAAATTGGAGCAGCAGCACTGGTCAATAAAAGCAGGGCCAGTTCGGCGGTTGCTGTGCGGGGTTCATGCGTGGTGCTGGCGCCGCCGTAGCACCATTGGCATATTGCTTGGAGGTACTCTGTATTGTCGCTGCACCCGCATTGCGGCTGCGATCAAATCCAACATTGATCTGCATGGCCCTCTGCTGCCACTTTGATAGGCGCATCTCCAAGCGGGCGCCTGCCTTTCGCAATCCTGCAGCCCCGTACGTACCTTCCCTTCATTTCGCTCGTGCATGCAGAATGGAGTGCGGAATATCTCGCCAGCGGCTATCGGGCAGGTGCTGACGCGAGTTGCGCATCGGCTTTCCTTCCCTGTCTGGCCTTCCCCAAAAAAATGTCCGGATAGAGAGCGTGTAGTTTCTGGCATTTGCTTTGCGGGTTTCCTGACCTGGCACTTCTTGATTCCACTTTGGGCAAAACGTACGGACCAAACAAGCATCTTGAGTAGCCATCGCTGACAGCCGACTATGGGTGGCCCTACCTGGGCTGGCGCATCCTTTCCTGGGCAGATAGCATGTTTACCCCTCGCCAAAGTCCGATGGGGGAACACGAGAGTGTTTGACCCATCCATCCTATACATCGTAGGTAGGCGTCCAAGAGGGTGACAGAGACAACCCGGTTTGGGCCAGGAGCCGGTACGGCATGGAGGAATCCAAGGGCGTACAAGTAAACGCCAAACTCCCTTCCGCCCCCCACCCTCAGAAACTATCCAAGAGCCTAATAGCGAGAGGTGCCGTTCCGCGAGACTTGAAACCAAGACTGCCACCCTCAGAGGTCTCCTGACATGACTGTCTCCGCCCTGCGGTCTCGTGGGGACCCTGCTACCTGGCCTGCCAGGTCCCTGGCGCCTTTACGGCCGCCCACCTCGACTACCGGCCAGGTTGTCGATAAAAGCCCACGGCAAAAGTCGCTGTCCCGGAGGGAGTTCAAGACGAGACAGCGACGGGGGGACGACGAGCGAGAAAAGGAGGACAGCAGCAGCCCGGACACAGCCGTCGCCGCCGCCGCCACCAGCCCTGCAGGTGGAGCAGCCATGGACTTTTCGCACTTTGGCTTCCCCAGCCGCGAGTGGGAAAGCTTTGTGGCGCACAACCCCGCAGCCACCATCGTGCCTCCCATCCCTAGCTCCATCGAGGAGTTGAAGGCTCAGGCCAATGCCGTCCGGATCGAGCGCGGCCGGGCCCACGTCGCCGACGAGTGCCTCGCCGACAAGTTTACCACTAGGGACCACGCGGTCCCGACGAGAGACGGCAGCGCAATCACCATGCGCGTCTACCGCCCCGCTGGCGTCCCTGAGGACCAGTTGCTGCCCGCGCTCGTGTGGTTCCATGGCGGAGGTTTCCTTTTTGGGAGCTTGGATGGTGGTATGTGTCGACTTTTTTCGTCTTCCGTCGCCTTCTCAGCAAGCCATACCTGCTTCTCGGTTCGAGATAGCTGTCGTGAAGTGTCTGCAAGATCAACAACATCACTAAACACAGAAACCACAGAGACATACGTTTGTGGCCTGCTGTGTCACCGGCTCCAGTGTGCAGTCCTACACATCTGCTATCGGCACACCCCCGAGTTCACGCATCCGACAGCCCACCACGATGCTCACGACGGCTTCGACTTTATCTGCGCACACTCTGTAGACCTCGTTATCGATCGCTCTCGTCTGATTGTTGGAGGCATCTCATCTGGCGGCCAGCTGGCGGCTTCGGTGACGTATCGCGAAATACTTGCGGCCCGGGGCGGTGCGGCTATGGGAGCCAACGGTGTCCAGCCGCAGCAACGCCCGAGGATAAGAGGCCAGGTCCTCAGCATCCCCTGGCTCTGCCACCGCGACGCCTATCCCTATCACTTGTTCCGCGACCGCGGCCGGGCCTCGACGCAGCAGTGCCTTTGGGCTCCCGTCACACCCAAGCCCAGGGCGGATCTGTTCACGGACCTGCTACATGTCGAGGATGTCCATGGCCGCTTGTCCAATATCGCCCAGGCCAGCCAGGATGAGCTTACGGGTACCGTGAGAACTGCTCTCGTGAGTGCCGGCATGGACGTCAAGCGCGACGAGGGGCTCATGTATGCCCTCAAGCTAAAGTCTCTAGGGTAAGTCTTTGTTACTCTCGGCCTTGCTCGATACTGCTTCCGACCGTCTTGGGGAAAAGCGGTGGGTGAGGAGAGCAGTGCTTCGGCGAGCCGAGGATATTCTAAATTTGTAACTTACCACTAACGACACGTACTTTTGTTTCTGCAGAGTTGAGACAAAAGTCCACGTCTTTCCAGGACTTCCCCATGCGTTCTACATGTTTCCGAATCTGCCGTCGAGACCTAGGTATCATGAGGCGGTCGTGGAGTGCGCGAGGTGGGCGTTCGGCGATGAGCCAGGCCAGAAGGAGTGGTATGTCGAGCCACCACCCAGAGAGTTCGCTGGCGATGGCGCCATATAACCAAATTTGATAAGAGAGATTGGGACCCCGACATGTTTCGTATCATGGATGGAAGCGATGGCGGGGAGACTGCACATAATTGCCCTTTTAGAAGAGGTGCGGAGCTGTTTGCCGGCCAGGACCTTTTACGGACCTTTGCCATTCTAACCGAGGCGGAAGGGAGTTATATACATACCTACACATAGATATCAGGGGGGATCAATGGGAAGGAGCATACGCAGGATATACATATATTGGCACTAGGATTCAAGCCAACCGGTCAGACTTTGGGGGCTGTCCTGTTCGCCATTTTTATTCGCGTTCCGTTACGGAGGTTACATTAGAACCTGCGAGGCAGCGGGGCGAAGGATCTCCAGGAACCCGCTGCGGTCGTCCACAATGGAAGTGGCGGGATTGCGCCGTGGCTCTGTTGCGCTTCAGCCATACAAAGGGCGGGTTGAATTCTGCGGTCATGCCATGCAGCCCAGTCCCGTGACGGGACTACGCAGTGTAGCTGACAGTAGGTCAAAGAAACTTGAAAATACCCGACACCGGTTAATGGCGGCCACTGCTGCCTGAGATATATGATTGGCCATGTCCGTCGCTGATATGATCCGAACCACCGTGAGGTGAAGTGGCTGGCAGCAAGTCCGTAGAGTTCGATTGTACGGATTATTTCTCGACGGAAAGGGCTCCCTTATAGCGGCCCGAGGTACCTTGACTATTCTTTCTCTCGCCGAGCCGGGGAGGGAAACACCCCAGACAAGCTGCTCGCTGCCTCGCTTCACCTGAGAACACGCGCGGGGCTTGCAAACCCTGAGCAGGAGAGCAGCTGTAGTTACGTTTTATAGTCGTCGGTATATCGGGAGAAAGGCGGGGAAGAAGGTGAGAAAAGATAGAGTGTGCCTTCAACTTCAAGCGTGAACAGGATATATAAGTTCAGAAGGCTCAAGTACTATGTACATTGGGCATATGAAGGTTTAAATATTCACAAGAAATCCGGCAACGGTTGCTAAGTGGCACCTTGCCTCGCTCTTCACCGACGGCGAATCGACAAACAGATGTTTGATCGACACAACCGCATTTTTACAGACACTGCCAGTACCAGTCATTCTGCTTTGTGCAAGTGTGCGGCGCTGCGCAGACCGTTGGTCCGCCGTAGCCAATGCCACCGCACTGCCCGTACCTCGGGACGGTTGGCCCGCCGCCGCCGCCGGTCGTGGTCGGCCGCGCCGAGGAGCTGGTGGACATCGACGTGGTCATGGGCTTGGAGGTCGTGGTCGCCGACGTCGTGGTCGACGTGACGAGGGTGGTGGAGCCGGTACCGCCACCGCCACCGCCGACGCTCCCCTGAGCCACAAAGACGCCGCGGCCGTTGGTGCCGACGTAGACCTGGCCCGGCACGTTGCCGCTGCCGGCCAGGCGTGCATTCTCCATGCGGCCGAAGCCCTGCGCGGCGCCCTGGATGTCGACCCACGGCCCGGCCCCGGCGTCGGCGCTCGCGTGCAGCCGCCGCTGCCCGCCGGGCCCGCTGCCGAGCGCGTACAGCGTCCAGGAGGAGCCGCCCGCGCCCAGCCCGAGGGCGATGTGCTGCGCGTCGGTGAGCCCCGACGCGACGGGGGCGAAAGTGGCGCCCGAGTCGGCACTGCGGAACACGCCGGCGTCGGTCGAGACGAAGACGGCGCCCGCGACGGCCGGGTGCGCCGTCACGTAGCGGACGCCGGTGGCGGCCGGGGAGAGGGAGCCGGCGGCGCGCGCAAAGGTCGCGCCCGCGTCGGTGGAGACGTACAGCGCGGCGGCGCCGGACGAGGCGACGTAGAAGACGCCGGCCCTGCGCTTGTCGGCCGCCACGGACACGGTGCCGGGGAGGGAGGACGGCAGGCCCGAGACGGCGGCGAAGGCGCCCTGGTTCTGCGAGCGGACGACGGCGCCGTTGGCCGTGGCCCAGAGCACGACGGACGCGTCGGCCGACAGGGCCGCCACGCCGCCGTAGTAGTTGGTGTTGGCGCCCGGGTGCACGCTCCACGAGGCGCCGCCGTCCGAGGAGGCCGCCAGCATCGGCTCGCCCTGGGTCTGGCCCACGCGGACGACGCTGTTGGGCTTGGCGCCCGCGTAGTCGACGCCCGAGGACGTGGCCCACTTGGGCGCCATCCAGGGCCGCGCCGGGCTCTTGAACAGGTCGGCGCTCGTCTTGTACGTAAAGCCGGTGATGTCGCCGATGGCGATCAGGAGCTCGGAGCCGCCAGGGGCCGAGGCGAGCTCTAGGACGGCCGTCTCCTCGATGCCGTCGGCCAGGGACTGGATGGTGATGTTGTGGACCGTGTCCCATTTTGTCAGGTCGTGGCCGCCGAAAACGGTCAGACCGGTGCCCTAGAATATGTTCAGTATCAGTCTCACGTTCTCTTTTCACCTCCTGCTAGAGGAAGAACACAAACTGGGACGGGAACTAAAAAAAGAAAAAGGGGTTGGCCTACATATAGCCAGTGGTCGCTGTCAGTCGGGTTGATCTCGAGCGACTCAATCATCCAGCCCAAGCGCTTCGAATCCTGCGAGAGGTGTCCCGTCTCGATCCAGGGGGCTTTGGAAGTTCTGATGGAGTAGTACTGATGCATCTCTGGATATGCGGCCCACTCCCACAGCCTCGACCATGTCGCGCCCGAATCGGTGGACCTAAAGATCTGGGCGTCCGGCCACCACGAGTTCAGAGAGGCCACCACGAGCGTTCCCGGCTTGAGCATGTCGACGCCGAGGCCGCCGAAGCCGTACGTGAGGTCCGCCCCCGACACGGGCGTGATGTCCTTCCACGTCGACTTGGCGAGATCGTACCGGTACACGGCGCCCTTGGTGCCGTCGAAGGGGCCGGTGCCATCCGCGTAGGTGACGTAGAGCGCCTTCTCAGCGGGCTGGATCTTGGCCTTGTGGGGGAAGTAAGCCTTGGGCTGGCCGGCGACAGGCGCCCAGGTGCTGCCCCCGTCGTTGGTGACGTAGACGGATGCCGTGATGTTGTCGGCGGTGCCGACGAAGATGCGGGACGTGGCGCCGGAGCCGGGCAGGACGGGCGAGGTGGGGTCAAAGGTCACCCAGGTCAGGCCCTGGATATCGCTTTGGTACCCGGTGGTGTCGGCCGGGTTCTGGGCAAAGGTGCCGACGGCGGTGAACGAGGTGACCTTGGAGAAGGTGACGCCGCCGTCGGTGCTCTTCCACAGGCCGTTGCCGCTGCGGGCGCCGAAGAAGAGGATCTTGCCGTTGTTGGGGTCCACGGCGAGGCGCTCGCCCAGGCCGCGCCCCGGCATGTTGCCTCCGACCTTGAAGGGGAGGGTGGAAACGGACCAGGTGGCGCCCTTGTCGGAGCTGCGGACGATGGAGCCATTGTCGGGGTCCCAGCTATTGGTGTAAAGCCCGGTGGCGGCGTAGACCTTGTTGGGGTCTTTAGGGTCAAGCGCAACCGCGTCGACTCCCAATTTGCTCCTGAGTGCTGGTCAGTTGATGCTTTCTACCGAGTGGAAGATGCTTGACAGAGGGTAAAGGCAGGGGCACATACCATCCGGCGTTGGTGGCGAGGCTGTCCGTGACTGCAGTCCACGAATCGTCCGAGTTAAGCTTGTAAAGACCACCGATATCGGTCCGCGCATAGGCCACGCCCTTGGCAGTCGGGTGGAAGACGATTCCGGGGACGAAACCTCCGCCGCCGCCGATCTTGACGTTCTTCCAGGTGAAGGCAGCCTGGATAGGGGCCACCGCTGCGGCGAGCAGTTGCAGAGCAGGGATGATCCTCATGATTGGAGGCTGTTTGAAAGAATGACCAGAAGCTGTCCGGGAGGATGTGGGAGACTGCCGCTGTGGCCGGGACAACAACGCCAAGGCATCGGGGCAGGAGAGGACCCTTGATATAGGCTAGGCACATGGTAAAATTGCATCATCCCGAGCCCGAGAGCTTGGGAACAGCGGCGCGAGCAAGCGGACGACTGCAGGACGGCCGTCTTAGGCTGCAGGCCCGGAAGACAGGCCGGTGCGTGATTCTGCTGCTGGGCCGGGTTTCCGAGGAAGATTGGCAGGGCAGCAGTTAACTGCAGTGCACAGAGACCAGATTCCACGAATAGGAGCCATTGATGGGACAGTCATAAACACAGAGCATGTGTCTACGATGGAGGACAGCATCAGTTGTGGTCGGAAGAAGAGGGGAACGTGGAACGGTCGTTCGGGAGGGAAGCCTCCGCGCTCGCTTGATTCCTTGTGGGCTATCCCTGATTCTTCCTCGAGTGTCGACATGAGCAGATTCCAGGGGTAAAAGGGTGCTGTTCTTTTGGCTGTGCCATCGGGCACATGGCCGTCGCCTTCTAGCAGGGAATTTGACGATGACTAGATACACAGCGTATGCCTTCGTTCATTGGGTAGGTGTTCTGTCTCTGTGTTTTGATCAGGTACAGTAGGTTGAGGTGGTGGTTGCTTTGTATTTTTCGTATTTTTCGGTTTTTTTTTTGTCTCCCCGTTGGCCAGCTCCCTGTCATTCCACACGTGGCCCATGCAGCAACGAAACAGTGGCGGAGCGCAGTTCCAACTACCCCAGCTCACAACAATGCTCAATTGCCGAGAACGTTTTCACAAAAGTGCAGCAAAACACCAAAGAAGCGGGTGGTTCACCGTGCTTGTCAGCCAAAAACACAGACGGCGGCAGCCTAAGAAGTCAAGCATGCACACCAAGCCGGCCAAGCGCCACTCAGGTGGACGCTTGTGGCCTTCCCCGCAGCCTCTCATGCCTCTGTCCCCGCGTCGTGGGGTCACGCGTGGGTCGGTCGGAGGATCAACCGTGGATGTGGAGCCGCTAGGCCACCTGCCCCTTGTCCGTGCAGGATCAAGGCAGGTGGTCAAGCGGGAGGAGGCGGCTTTGGCTTCTCCTGCTCTGTCGTGGTGAGTGACTGAGACATACGACTTGTTCACACTCAATCAGTTGCCTCTTCCCGACTCCAACGTCGCCAGTTTGTTGCAGAGCTGGTTTCTCATCTGGCTATTCAAACAGACTCATTGTGATCAGGCACTGGTGGCCGTCCTGGCAGACCAAAGCGCAGGCGCTCAATTAGCTTTCTCTCCCTTGCTCTTACCTCGGCTCAACACACCATTTCCATCTCCAACACACACCGAAGATCATGTCTTCGCCTAGGTCGACGTCGTCCCTAGACTCCCAAAGTTGGGTTGAGCTTCGGCTCAATGTCCTGGGACATATCGATGCTACCGACAGCGATGTTGTTCCCGATTCTGCCCCCGACCCTGAATCTGACGCTGGCACCTACGCCGGCTCGCTTCCAGCTGCCTTGGAGGCGCCGGCGTCTGCCCAGAGCGACGCCGTCATCGTCTTTCCTCCCAAGACCCCCGACTGGAACAACCTCAAGGTCATCCACCGCAACACCCTCGAGCCTCGCAGCTACTTTTTCCTCTATGGCTCCGAGAAGGACGCTCTGTCTCGGGACACATCCCGCTCCAAGAGCCAGCTACTCTCGGGCAAGAAGTGGAAGTTCAGCCTGTCCAAATCCCCCTACCAGGGTGACATGGACTTCTATCGCGAGTCCTTCGATTCTTCTCGGTGGGCCGAAGTCCACGTTCCGGGAATGTGGAATCTGCAAGGCTTTGGCAAGGGCCCGCAATACACCAACCTCGACTTCCCCTTCCCCGCCGATCCGCCCCACGTACCACTCGACGATAACGAGTGTGGTCGCTATATCACCCACTTTGAAGTCGCCGGGGATCTCAAGGGCCACCAGATGCGCCTGAGGTTCGAGGGTGCCGAGACTGGCTTCACCGTCTACGTCAACGGCCATGATGTTGGCTACTCCCAGGGCTCTCGTAACCCCAGCGAGTTTGATGTGACCAAGTACCTGAAGTTTGGAAAGACCAACATGCTCGCCGTCGAGGTCTACCAGCGCACCAACGGCATCTACCTTGAGGACCAGGACCACTGGTGGCTGGCTGGTATCATGCGTGATGTGTACTTGCACGCCTGGCCACAGCCCGCCCACATCGAAGACTATTACGCCCGCCCCATGCTTGATGGTCTGTACCAGGATGGCGTGCTCCAGGTTGACGTCGACCTCAGTGCCAAAGCAAAGGTGCATCTCAAACTCCTCGACGCTGACGGGAAGGAGGTCGTCAAGGCCAGCCAGACGGCCAAGTCCAAAGCCGTCTTCGAGATGGACATTGATAGGCCTCACAAATGGTCGGCTGAGCGTCCTTATCTCTACACGCTCGTGCTTTCGGTAGACGACCATTATGTGGCGCAGCGGATTGGCTTCCGCAGGACCGAGCTGGTTGACGGTATCTACTGCATCAATGGCCACCCCATCAAATTCAGGGGCGTCAACCGGCACGAGCACCACCCGGACTCTGGCCGCGCCGTCCCCTACGACTGGATGGTCAAGGATCTCTTGCTCATGAAGACTCACAACGTCAACGCTATTCGGACGTCCCATTACATCAACGACCCGCGCATGTACGACGTTGCCGACGAATTGGGCCTCTGGATTCTCAACGAGGCTGACCTGGAGTGTCACGGACTTGGTGTCATCGGTGGCGATGCCGGCAGCTATGCCTCTGACAACCCAGCCTGGGAGGACTCGTACGTCGACCGCGCGCGTCAGATGGTGCAGCGAGACAAGAACCATGCCTCTGTCATAATGTGGTCTTTGGGCAACGAGTCCTTCTTTGGACGGAACCACGTGGCGATGTACAAGTACATCAAGAGCGTCGACAAGTCTCGCCTCGTCCACTACGAGCCCGACGGGTCCGCGTCCACGGTTGACATAGTCAGCCACATGTACACATGGCAGTCCGACGTCATCAAGATGGGCGAGGAAGAGAACTGGACCAAGCCTGTCGTCTTGTGCGAGTACGTCCATGCCATGGGCAACGGCCCAGGCGGCGTGACCGAGTACGTCGAGGCCTTTTACAAGTACCCTCGACTTATGGGTGGCTTCGTGTGGGAATGGGCGAACCACGGGCTGCGGACCAAGAATGCCGATGGCGAGGAGTACATGGGATACGGCGGCGACTTTGGGGACGACCCGCACGACAAGAACTTTGTCCTGGACGGACTGCTCTTTTCCAACCACACCCCAACACCCGGATTCACCAACTACAAGAAGATCATTGAGCCTGTCCAGAGCCTGAGCCTGGATGGCACCAGAGTGACCATCATCAACCGCTATGACACAGTCGACCTCGATCATCTCAAGTGCATCTGGTCCTTTGTGGGTGATGGCGTCCATGTGAAAGGCGGCGAGATCAAGATCCCTCAAGGTCAGTAAGCGGCTGTAGCGCTATGATTCCTTGATGCTGCCCGGGTATGCATATACTAACCAGTCGCAGGCGTCAAACCTCACACCAAGGCGGTCTTGAAGCTCGACAAGCTTCCCGCCCCGCCTGCTGGTGAGGCGTACTTACACCTAGACTTTATGCTACGCGAGGATACCAACTGGGCCAAGGCCGGGCACGTTGTTGCTTTTGGCGAATTCCGCCTGACGCCTCCCCTTAGCTTGGCCCATGTCCATCGGCTCTCGATCCCGACCGAACACTGCCCAACAGTACAGGCGGTGTCAGGGGGCTCCAAGCTTGTGATCACGAGCGCTTGGGGCACCGTATGGGAGTTTGACCAGTCCATAGGAGCCCTAACGTCTTGGATGCGACGGTCGGAGCCTGGACACAACATCATCTCGGAGCCCACATCGTTTGCACTCTATCGCGCCTTGACCGACAACGACCGAGGCTGCTGGCAAGGCCAGGACTGGCGTGCTCGTCGCATGCACCAGCTTAAGACGCACATGTTGGAGTCGCGGTACGTGAGGCGGGCTATCACGGCAAGCGGCGGCGACGGCGGCGTCGAGGTGGTGGTGAAGCACCGCGTCGCGCCGCCGGTGAAGAACTGGTGCCTTCTTACCACCACCTCGTTCCGGTTCGCGGGCGACTCTGTCAGCATCCGGGTCCAGGCTCATCTCGACGGCAACGAGCGCCCACAGACCTTTGCGCGCTTCGGCCTGCGCCTCGGCCTCGTGGGCTGCGAGTCGGCCCGCTGGTTCGGCCGGGGCCCGGGAGAGTCGTACAGCGACAAGAAGCTGAGCCAGGCCTGGGGCAACTACGAGGAGGCGGTCGACGACCTGTTTGTCGACTACGAGTACCCCCAGGACGGCGGCAGCCGATCCGACGTGCGCTGGGTCGAGTTCCTGGGCAGCGGCGACGGAGACAAGAACAAAAAGAACAAGACGCGGCTGCTGCGGGCGCGATTCGGCGACCTCGACGGCGCCGGGTTCCAGGCGCTGCACTACGGCACCGAGGACATGGACGTGGGCGAGCACCCGTACGAGCTGTACAAGCGCAAGCGGGAGGACACGGTTGTGCACCTCGACTGGGCGCACCACGGCATCGGGTCGGGATCCTGCGGCCCGGCCGCGCTGCCCCAGTACGAGCTCCGGGCTGACAAGCAGTTTGACTTTCACCTGCTGCTGGACTGAGTCTGCGTCTCGGTGGGATTGGAGAGGACGGGACATGGCGTCTTGGAAATAGTCTCAGGCTAGGATTTCATGTCTCAATTTGGAGTGTCTCATATCAGACCATGCTAGCAGCTCATGTAGCCCACAGAATGTCACGGCGGCGTGGCAATATCAAGAGTATTTTTTACTCTCTTTTTTCTCTCTCTTTGCGCCATGACCTAGTTCCCCTTGGTACTTTCCTAGCTTATGGGCCTTTGCTCTGTCCTCAGTACCTTTTGGTTGGGCACAATTCTACCATACCCAGTGATTGCTCAAGTGACAGATCTCACTGCGGCGCGCCTGTACGCACATGTAAATAAGTAAGCAAATACCAGACAGACCGAGCGCGCCTCAGATCGAGACTTTTACCTTGCCGCTCTTACCGCTACGTGGTGCCTAAGCTGTAGGCCCTCGCAGACATGCTGCAGCAGGTCCCGGCGCGGACGCAAACCTCGGGGTGGCATGAGACGTTGAATTTTTTATGCACAAGACGCACTAATCATGGACGCGCATCGAGTGTCTCTGTCCACGGAAACGAAAAGAAGGGTATCTCTGTGGGAAATATATAATGCCAAGACTTGCCATTATATCCGTTCGGGAGCGGGCCTCTACATGGGCTGGACCACCCGTGCTCCTCCTCCTCCTCTTCCTCCTCTTCCTCCTCTTCCTCCTCTTCCTCCTCCCTCCTTTCCACAACGCCCCCGCTTCCAGCCCGGCATCGCACATGCAAACAAAATCACGAGCTCCTGCGGCCGTAGGGCTCAAAGGGGAACAGGGCGCTGACGACGGCCATGCCGACAAAGAGCGCGGCGCAGACGTACATGGGCGCCGTGGTCCTCGTGTCCCCAAACGTCGCCACGACGTTGCTCAGGATGCCCATGACGCGGTTGCACGCGACGGCCACGCCGTTGCCCGTGGCGCGGTGCGCGCTCGGCAGCACCTCGGGCGTGTAGGCGTATAGGGTGCCGTAGTAGATGTTGAGCAGGAAGCCGATGGTGCACGAGAAGGCCAGGTCCTGATCCGCCGTGCGCACCTCGGTGTAGCCGAGCAAGAAGGCCATGGTCGCCAGTGCCCCGATCACCATGGTGTAGCGCCTGCCCAGGATCTTGACGTTGCAGAGGAAGCCGGCGAGGACGGGGCCGAAGATGCCCGAGACGTTGACGAGCATGTAGTTGCGCCACCTGCTGTAGGTCGACACGTCGAGCGCCGCGCCCCGGGCCGCGAGGTAGTCGGGCAGGAAGACGTAAAAGAGCGGGTAGGCGAGCCCGATGAGCGTCCACGACAGCCAGACCATCAGGGTCGAGCGGGCGATGAGGGGCGTGGCGAAGAGGCCGCGCAGGTGCACCAGGGTCTCGCCGACCGAGAAGCGGTTCTTGCTGTGCGCCGACTGGACGTCGCCGCAGGCCACGAGCTGCTCGGCCGTGAGCGTGAAGGGGCGGTTGTACTTGGACGCGATCGCCTGGAGCGCCTCGACGGCCCCGGCATCATCGCCGATGCCCAGGAGGTACTTGGGGGTCTCCCGGAGGCGCACGACGGTGACGCGAAGGACCGACATGACGAAGACGAGGGCGCCACCACTAAAAAATACATAGCGCCAGCCCATGTTGTCCTGGCGGGGGCACGAGGCTGCCGTAGCACAGTTCCACTCTGGAGGAGCTGCAGGGAGAGAGTACCACATCAGCTTCCTGTGGCGTAATGGTAAAAATACGGCGACGAGGGGCGAATACTGACGCAGAAAAGCCCAACCCAGCGCGCCGGCTACGAACTGGCCGACACCCCACCAGCAGGCCATCAAGGTCAACACCCACTGCTTGTCCGACGGAAGGTATTCGAGGAAGACGGTGGTGTCGAGGACGAGGTTACCGCCGCCGCCAAAGCCGACGAGGGCGACGAAGACGCCGAGCCCGGCCCAGCTGGGCATCGCGCCGGCGATGATGGCCGACGCCGAGCAGATGAAGAGCGAGCAGTTGAAGGCCCAGCGGCGGCCGATGATGTCGGCGCCGAGGCCCCAAAACAGGGCACCGAAGAGCATTCCGCAGTAGGCAGCGACATTGAGGCCCTTGTCGTACTGGCCGGGCCCGCCGAGCTCCTTGAAGGCCTGGGCGGCGACAATGGACTGCAGAAGCAGTATCAGAGAGTCGACACCGTAGCCGAAGCCGTTGAGCACGAAGAGCTTCATGTGGTACGGCGTCCAGCCGATTTGATCGATTGCCTGCGTGGTGTCCACGGAATCAACCAGTGGTTAGCGAGCGGTTCGTTCTTGTTTGATAGCCGCAGTGTGGGCGTGACAAACATTGTTGATAAGGTGCATCTTCATGTTGAGGGCCGGGTCGAGGTCATTCTGAGATAGGATGTCATCCCCCTTGAGAGACAGGTCCTCGACACCATCCGCGCCGGGAGCCTTGTCGCCTGCGACGACAGCCTTGCCATCCTGGCCCTCTTCCAGCTTGGGACTGGTACTCGGTGAAGCCATAGCGGGCGCCTGCATCTGCTGGGAGGGATGTGTAAACCAGCGATGAGTGCGGGGACGAGAAGAAAGAATCGGAGAGAGAAGAGCAGTGCGACACGAGCCACATGCGCGACAACGAGGCGAGCCGCGTCTGTTTATTTCTATTCGAAAAGATGCAGCAAGAAGATTCAGCCCACTGACCCCTGGTGGCTTGCGTGCAGAAAAACCAAGAACCAGGGAAATTCCACCGCTGGGGCGCACCCTTTGTGGAGCGGAACCGCAGACACGCATAGCAGTCTACCTCACGTTGAGCCGCCGTGCAACGCTATTGGTGTTAAGCAGCTTGACCGCATCCCACGCAGACGTTTGAGCGAGGTTGCATGCAAACAAGCGGGTGATCGGCTCTCCAGTGTGGGGGGCAGCCTCTGTCAAACGGCAGCGTGCGCTCTTTTCGAGCACGACGTCATAGCCCCGATGACTCGCATGTTCCCTTAACCTTCAGACCCTGAGTGGGCATGCATGAATCCTGGAGGAGCCCAGCCCAGTCCTTGGGTATCGCTGTCTAATCGGAGTGCAGGCCCTGGGGCGAGGCTTTGCTGCCACGGCCCGAGCCTTGTGTAGAACACCTACGCCACGCCAGCATCTAAGCTGGGCGGAGACATATTTCCGAGGCCGGATGCCAAGCCCAGCCCTGGGTACGGCTGTTCTCCCGACCAGACTGATATCCTGGGTTCCCCTGCTGACAATGTAGCCAAAGCATGGGAGAGAAAGCAAAGCGGTGAGTGCGATCAAGACGCATCAAGGGCTTCATGCTGTGAGATTTTCTTCCCACCCCCGCTCGGACCCTGCTGCAAATGGGACGTTGGCTCCGCCTGCCCCTCACTTCACCCCGCTGAGGCGCAGAGGGAAACAATGTGCTCCGGGATGTCGGTCTTGGCCAACGTGCTCGCCCCGCTCATGAACTGCAGAAGCAGCCCGGCCTCCATGTGCCAAGCCATATGGCAGTGGAACGCCCACAGGCCCGGGTTGTCGGCAATGAAGCGAACCAGCACCCACGAATAGGGCTCGATCGTCACCGTGTCCCTCCGGGGTCTATCGGCAACAGACGGTCCCGACACGGTAACCTCGCCGTGGTAGCGTGTCCAGTTAAAGGCGCCACCACCCCTTTCCATGATCCAGAAGTCGTGCCCGTGCAAGTGGAAGGGGTGGCTGCCGTCGTCAAGGCTATACACCAGCAGGTCCACAACTTCGGTGGTGTCGTGGCTGACCCCGACCACGTACTGGTCTTGCTGGAATACCCCAACCCGGCCTTCTGGAGCCGGTATCGACCAGCTCGCCGCGACGGGAGATCTCAAACCCTCGACCGCGTCCAGCAGCGTGGTCGAGTTACTCTGCGGCTTCCAGGTGACCGTCTCGTTGGCTTTTGCGTATGACATTTGATTCGCGCCGATGGCAAAATGGAAATCGACGGCGACGAATCGAGTCGCTGGTGGTGGCGGTTTTCTGACCAGAGGCACAAGTGTTGCATCCTCCGGATCCTTGCAGACGACTGCGTTCGCCTCCCCCTGCCAGTCAATCGACTGCGCAGGGTCAGGAGCGAGAGTGGCGTCCGTCTTGCCGCCGTAGGAGAGAACTGCTCTTGTCGTCGAGTCCAGCACCGGGTTTTCGTCTCCTTTGAAACAAAACTTGACCATGGCCGCTCGAATCCAGTAGTTAGCATTCGCTTCCTGGTTAGTATCCAGAACGGCACTGTATCGTTGGCCGACGTGGATTGGCAGTCGGTGGGTTGTGTGTGGTCTGGTTAAAGTGCTGTCGGCCTCGATGACACTCAGAGAGTGTTTGTCGACGGAGAACTCGAAACTAGCAAAAGCCCCGCCGTTGATGAGGCGGAGGCGGGTCTTGGTGTGCTATTGACCAAAGGGGCGGGGTTAGGGGGGCTTTCAAGCAGGGCAAGTTTGGAGCGGGATAACTGACAGGTTCCAAGGTAAATACAGAGTGCGAAACGTTGCCGTAGCACGATTTACCAGAGTCGGGGCCGTAGCGAGCGCAGTCGAAGCTATTCAAGAGTCAGTGAGAAGAAAGACCTGCGATGCACCCGGTGTATGAGCATACTAGTTGCGTCCGTTGATGAGCCCAGACGAGGGGATGGGCTCATTGTTCTCCACATTGGGCGCCATGTACTTGGCAATATCGACTTTGCTAGTGTCGTGATACCAGTCTTGCAGGAGGAGAACCCTGTCATGCTGGTAGGTCTCGCGGAGAGCTGCCTCCTCTGGGGCGTGGATGACCATGGGCCCCAGGACGCCATCGATGGCCTGGGCCGAGTGATGAGCATGCCACCAAAAGGTGCCAAACTGGCCGTCAAGGGTGAAGTTGTAGAGCAGCGACTGTCCAGGGGGGATGCCGCACTGGGTGACGCCGGCGGTGCCGTCAAACCAGGGGGTACCCCGCTGGTGGATCCCGTGCCAATGGATGGCGGTGGGCTCAGAGGCGAGCATGTTGGTGACGTTCACCAGGATCCTGTCCCCGCGGTTGGCCTCGATCAGGGGCCCGGGGAACTGGCCGTTGACCAGCAGCATGTCACGGACGACGCCGTCTGGCCAGGCCTTGCCCTCGGTGATGACAAATTCGTAGCTCCTGGTTGTCGGGGCGGCGTTGAAGTCCCAAGCCATGTCCAGAAGGTACTCGCGGTCCGTGTTCAGCCTCCATTCCTCAGGCCTGCCGGGCTGGACGGGAAGTCCCGGCAGGCGAGGAGGGGCTGGACGGGTGTGATTGGGTGGGCCGACGAAGCCGAAGAGCGGTGCGGCCCGGAATCTCAGGCCAGACTTGAGCCCGAGCGAGAGGACGATGATGTTGATGGCCACGACCAGGCCGATGATGGCCGTGGTGCGCGGCGAAAGGCCCCGCGTCACCATGGCGGCACGAATAGAAAATGGCTGTTTGTTGGCTGGTATCACGGGGGTGCAGCCATAAATGGGAGCATGGCACTCAAGGGGGCAGGTTGAGGCTGGCCCCAAGATTGCAGTGTTGGATTGAGGTGGTTGTCGCTTTTGCACAGTGGCTTGATTGAACCCAGGCAGGCTGGCCAGCTGGCTGGGCCTCAAAATTCGTCCATGCGTGCAGGGTCTCGTGGTCTGCGGAGGAGGGGTGGCTTTCCCCATTTGAGTGGGGTGGGGGCTGGTGGACCGTACCCGCCATCAGTCCATAGGTTTCAAAGGCGGGAAAAACATTCCTTCCTGGCCTAGAACTTCTGCGCTTCACACAGTGATCAATACCAAGAGACCTAAACTCCAGATCCCTGAACGAGGTGACCTAAACGAAGAGATGGATCACTCTATCCCGTCGCACCACACACATCTCGCCATGGCAGCGACACGGCAAGCGGGATGGCCCTCAGGAACGCCATGCTTAGCCCTCGTTTGTGTCCAACTATGATCTCACCAGGGCGCACACCATGCACCTGCCGTGCAATGTATACAGCAACTCGGAATCCGGTTAGCATGGAGCCGGATAGCAAACAAATTCGTCTGCATGTCGCATCTAAAGTAGCGGCCCCGGCAAGTCCAAAGCGGTCCGTTTCCCTCGCGCGAGCATCTTGAGATGGTTTGTGCTAATGGAGGCGAATATGAAGATAGATCAGGCTAGTGGGCAGATCGCATTGTCTTCTTTTGGCCTGGGCTTCGCACAAAGACGGCAAAACGGCATCAACGATTTTGCTCTGCGGTTTTTTTTGTTCCGTTTCCAGGCTGCTGCAGCACCAGTCAGCAGTCAGCCACGATCAAAATAGCGGCCCCAGCCCTGCACGTCCAATCATGTCTCAAAGGCTTACCAGCATGTGCCCGGCACAAGGTACACCACCTGAGAGGTATCACTCAGCAAAGTCAGTCCGGCCAGCACGCAGACATCTTGTCTCTTGTCTCCGGATGCCCTCCCCGCTTGAGCCAAATGGCGGATTGATTGGCGAGGACACGCGTACCCTCCACCGAACAACCCCCCCCTAGGAGGGTGTCCTTGGCGCGACACAAAGAAAACAAGCACTCTGTCTACATTGCACCGATCCAGATCTCGTCAGGGGTCCGTGGACCAGCCTAGACCCTCGACCCTTGGATCCTTTGCCGGCAGTCGACCAACCCTTGTTCTTTTCCTCGCCTCGTGGCTGAGGTGTCCTCCCGCCAGCTGTGGTTGCATTCGAGGCTGGCTGTCGGCGTTTCCCATCTTGCCATTTCTTTTTGGGAGCTCGGTGGTTCGTCCTGACTAGCGCGCCACCTCGCCCATCCCACCCCCCTTGCCCGCTGCGCAGTCCGCTCACACGAGCACACTAGCAGCGCCCTCCCAGGTACCCATGTCTTCTTACTGCCGCCTCCGCCGTCCCCCTGCGCGGAGCCTTAGTGGGCGATGGCGCCGTTGCTGCTTAAAAGGTCGCAAGGCCCTCTCGCCAGGGCCTTTGGGCTCTCCCTCCGGCCCTCCACCGAATGGCCTCGCGTTCCGGCACATCTACTCTGGCCAGCTATGAGGTGATCATCAAGTCTCCTGTCGGGGACAGATTATACTATATCTATAACAGCAACTGCCCAAAGCTTCTGGCTGTTGGCTGTCGCCCCTGGCATCCCTTGCCGTGGTGCATCCCTGCCCAGCCCGCCCTCCGTTCCTAGCCTCGCATACCCTCCGCAGAAATGAGACTTTCAACTGCTTTGGGCTTGGCGGCCCTGCTCGGCTCAGCTGCCAGCGCCACCCTCACGGGGCCGCCCGTCATCCGGAAAGGGAAGCCACCACAGCAGGCGCCCAAAATGTCTCTGGACGAGATCCGTGCTGCACAGGCAACCGCCCGCGTTTCATCCCCGACCTCCAACGTCAAGGGCGTTGCCTTTGACAGACTCATCCAGATATGGCTTGAGAACACAAACTACAAGGTGGGTGGTTCTAGAGGTCCTCCTGGAGGACGGAAAGGCAGCTAACCGATGATCCGTTTCTGTTCCGCGGATAGGCTGCTGCAGGCGATGCCAACTTTCAGTGGCTTGCCAGCCAGGGGATCCTCCTGACAAACCACTTTGGCGTCACGCACCCCTCTCAGCCCAACTACGCAGCTGCTGCCGCGGGCGACCACTTCGGTATGGACAGCGGAGACTTCTTCAGGTTCCCCGAAAACATCAGCACCGTGGTCGACCTGCTGGATACCAAGTCCATCTCGTGGGCCGCCTACCAGGAGCACATGCCCTACGCCGGGTACCCGGGCTTCAACTTTTCCAACCAAAAGAACTACGCCAACGACTACATGCGGAAGCACAACCCGCTCATCCTGTTCGACAGCATCGCCAACAACCCGGACCGGGCCTCCCAGATCAAGAACTTCACCAGCTTCGAGCAGGACCTAAAAAACAAAAAGCTGCCGCAGTGGATCTTTATGACGCCCAACATGACAAACGACGGCCACGACACCAACTACCGCTTCTCGGCCCGCTGGACCCGGTCCTTCCTCGAGCCGCTGCTCAAGGACCCGTACTTTATGGACGGGACGCTCGTCATGCTTACCTTTGACGAGAACGAGGTGTACCCGACGCAGAACCGAGTCTTCACCGTCCTGCTCGGCGGCGCCGTCGACGCGTCCCTGCGCGGCAGCCAGGACACCATGTTCTACAACCACTACTCGTCCATCTCGACTGTCTCGGCCAACTGGGGGCTCCCGTCGCTCGGCCGCTGGGACTGCGGCGCCAACATTCTGTCCCTGGTCGCCAACAAGACGAGCTACCAAAACGTCATGCCAGGCGGCGGCGACGCGGGCGCCGCCGCCCGCTCGCTCGAGTCGCTCTTCTTCAACGCGTCGTACCCGGGCCCGGCCTCCGACAAGCTCTACACGCCCGGCTGGTGGCCCGTCCCGGACACGAAGTCGACCTGCGCCGCCGGCAACGGCATCCTGCCCGCCGTCGTCAAGGCCTGGTCCGCCCTCCCGGGGCCGGCCTACAACTACTCGGACGCATTCCCCTACGACGACCGCTCCGGCTCCAACACGGCCGCCACCCGCGTCAGGGGCGGCAGGGCCGTCAACGCGGGCGGCGCGGGCCCCGCGCCGGGCGGCGGCGGCGCCTCGTCCTCGGACAAGCCAAAGGTCCACAACGCGGCCGGCAGGGCGGCGTCGGCGGGTGTGTCGTGCGTCGGGGGCGTGGCATTAGTCGTGGCGGGCTTGCTGAGCTTGCTCTAATTTTGTTTCTCCTTTGTTTTGATATTCCCCGTTTATAGTCGGCTTACGAGCCCATGATTTCGCATTGGATATTAGCAAGCAAGCATCATTCTGGATACACAGCGCACATGGCAGGGTCTGCCAGGCTGTTTTTTTTTTAGTTGTTTATACTAGGGATTAATAGCACCCGAAAAGGGCAACCCTCTGCATTTATTTAAAGCGTCATCCATCCAATTTCATCACCGTGTCAACATCATCCTAGAAGTCGTATTGAACCAACTTCCGTCTGTCGGCACATGTTGGATTGAAAGGCTGCGAGCCAAAAGGGTATTTTCAGTGCGCCCATTGTATTATACCCCCAGAACTACTATAGAAGTGGCACTCGGTTGATTAAACAATGGGGTTTCAAAGCGTCTCATCGCCGCGTAATGGAACAAGGTCAGAAAGACCGCTTTCTGGCCGATCGTCCGCCCCGAGCCTCCACATCAGCCATGGCAATTCCCCATCCCTATGGGCATTTCTTTGCCAGCATCTTGGCCATACCAGGCCAGGTCGGAGCTGGGAGGGGCTCAAGCTGTTCACTAGTGGGATCGCGCCCGCCATGCTGCTTGTCCTGTCCGATCACTTGGTTTTGGGGAAACAGGCAGAGTACCGAGACCAGAAGGAAGGGGACGGGGTGCGACATGCCGTGATTCTTTACGCCAAAACGACTGCAAAGTCTTAGAAAACAGCGCGGCTCGTCATAAAGTCGACAATAGTATCTGAGCTTGTAAATAGCTTGATTCGGTCTGATATCCTACGTTCCTCAGCACCGCCAGTGTCTAGTATGTATATATCGAGGCAAGGGAACAGGTCAATAGACCGTCAGGGACTAATAAGACAGGGCGTAGCAGCCGTGCTGGGGTGGCAATAAAAGTAGGACAAAGAAGTGACAGCAGAAGCCAATTAAAAAAGAAATGTGTATACCCAATCAACGCAAACCTGACGTGCGCCCGGAACACCCGACAATGGTTTTTTTCTTTAAAAAAAAATGTACAAGAGCGAGAGGCAGGCCGCCCTTCGGAAGACGGCATTAAGCATTAGCGGGGGCCGGCTTGGCACCAGGCCGGACGGACTCTCAGTGGCACCCATACCGGGCCACCCGTGCCGACTGGCCAGGCCATTCGTGGCGAGGCCGGGAAGTTGCCTACCTTGTAGGTCTTGATGCACCATGATCTCGTATTGATACCGCATTTCTGCCTTCCTCGTAAGGTAGCCAGCCCTGCCCTTTACTTCATGTTTTTTTTCTTCTCCCTTGATTACTCATGTTCTTGCCCGTGATTTGTCTTATGCTTCGTTTTTCTTGTTCTCATGTCGGAAAGTTCAGCGTCTGGCCAGGAGGCATCTGCGTATTGATCCAGTTGACGTCCTCGGCGCGCTCGCTTTGCATCACGAGCTGCATCTCGCGCACGCCACAGAAGAGACCGTTGCGGCCGACTCGCTGTACAAGCCGCCAACGCTTCTCTTGCGTGTCCCAGATCTCCTCGACGAAACCGTCGCCCTCCTGCACGGTGCGGTGTGGGTTGTGCGTCGGCAGTCCGACCATTGGGCTGAGCAGCCGCTGCGGTACCGAGAATAGGCGCTCCCACCGCTGCACAACAGGCAGCCAGCTGAGAACCTTCCAGCTGTAGGCGACGCGCACATATGGGTTCACAAAGATTTCCGTATCTTTGGCATCGGCTTGCCGAGCCACTTGGGCCACGTCTGCGTGGAAGAGGCAGCATTCGCACGCATCAAAGTAGACCTCGGGCTCGTGCCGGAACCGGATCGGGGTCGAGACATTTCGGGGTTGTGCCGGGTCGATGACGTGGGCGCCGATGTCGCGGAAGTCGGGACGAGGCAGCTCTGGAGTCAGGTTCTGCACGTATCGCGCCTGCATGGCCACCATGCCGCCCCAGCAGGAGCTGACAGGGACCGCGTCCTTCTGGGCCAGAACGGCGGCCCGGGAGGTGCCATGCCCTGAGCGGCTGAAAATAGGAAATATGGGAAGGCCGTTGGAGTAGCCCTCGGAGTCGCGCTGTGCGTACAGGTCGTAGAACATGAGCGGGTGGAAGAAGTCGAGGGCGCACGTCGACAGATAGCGTGTCCGGCCGTCGGGGCCGATGTTGGTGCTGAAAAGCAGCTGCGCCGCATCCACGGGGCGGAACGCGACGTCGTTGAGGAACAGGATCTTGTCGAACGGCACCACGCCCTCTTGGGCATTGAGCCGATCTAGCGGCCACAGCGCCCGGTTGCGCATCTCGGATAGGTAAGCGAGGCGCTTGGTCCTCTGCGTGCCGTCTGGCATTGTGACGTTTGGAAAGTCGGACAGCCCGACGTGGTTGTCGTTGACGATCGAGTGCCGACACGGCACCCTTCTTCGGAACTGCTCGAGGGCCGCAGCACCCTCGGGGCCGCTGTCGTTCTGGTATATGCTCAGGAAGACATTGGAGGCGCCGATTAGGTGTATCAACTCGAGGACCGCCTTGCCCCATTGGCCGGCAGTCAGATGGCCCCCTTTATCGTAGAGGCTAACAGATATGAACACCTTCTCGTGGAAGGGGTTCGCGCACGCGGGCTCTGCCGCCTTGCCATGGCACCGGGCCTTGAGCTCGCGATAGTGTGAGGGCGGTCGAAGATATGAAGGGGCGAAGAGCGGGGTGAGGATCAGGACGGTGAGGACGACGGGAACGAGGCATCGGAGGCAGAGCACAAGTGCCTGCAACGGGTGTCTGCGGAGGCTTCGTCGGGCCTTTCGTAGCCTGGCACGGGCCCACACGGCCAGGCTGTAGGGTCTTCGTCTGCTGGGGTTGTGGTAGTATCTCTTGTCGGTCGGGGGCAGGTCGTCCATGCTCTCGAGGTCAATGGTCGAGGTGAAGGACGACGACGTAAAGGCGGGCGACGGCGGGGGCTGGTCGAGGTAGGGCTTGCGCTCCTCCGAGCCGGAGGCGGCTCGGGGGCGTGTGGTCGCCATGTCTGAGTATGGCGAGAAGGGCGAGTTGGGCGACGAGTCGGAGTAGAAGGGCGTTCGTGCTTTGGCGAGGTGGGCGGGCGGTTGGGCGATGGAGGAGGTGCGCAGGCGAGCGACGCGACCAGAGGGCAATGTCTGAGTCTGTCTTGTTGGTCGGCGAGACTCGACTTGGCTGCTGGGAAAGAGCCTGGGCTGCATTGGGGGAGGAGGGACAGCTAGCGTGCCGCCGCGCAGTCGGTCGGGCGAGACACAAGCTCAACTCAGCTGGGTGCACCATGCGCGAGGCGTCGAGCCTTCCTGCACGGTGTTGGTGGCAGTGCAGTGCGCAAGGCGAAAGGTTTCAGCGGGCGAGGGCCAGGAAGGTTGAGCACTCGCTGAGACGAGACCCGGATCTGACGCAAAGACTTCCATTGCCCATGGAATAGTTCGACAATGTATTTTTCAGGAGCGCGGCTCGTCGCCGGCAGTCGAGCCCGCCTACGCGTGGATCACGGCCAGGGGTGTGAAACATGGATGGGCAGGCTGGGGCACAGCCCACCGCACCCGCCCGCCCTGCGCTGCACCTGCACACACGGGCCTGACCAGCAACACTCAGCCACTAGACGTTCGGCAGCGGCGCCCACCTCCTGCAGTAGCCAAATTGCCGGCCTTATTTGATGTTCGTGAAGCAATTTTTACCCCTGTTGCTTCTTCCCGGCTGACGTTGGATCGGGACTAGCCCCCGTCTCCCCCTCAAGCCCACTGAAGCCACAAGATTGTAGGACTGCGCCTGCCCAGCGAGGGCGCCACAGGGGACGTGGGCACGTCGTCGGATACTGGATGCGGCTGATGGATGCACGCATTCCTCGACTGGGCTGTCACTGCTACCCGGCATCATGTCACAACGGCGGGTTGTCCTGCTGCACCGGGAGAGGACAATTGGCCGCAGAACAGACAGGAGGCAGGATCCGTTCGATGCTGGCAAAAGAAGGCGGCAGCGCCGAGGCTCTCGTCGCATTCTAGGATGATCCAATGGCGGATGCCTACGACGTAGGTATTACGTAGCTGACTGAGCTCGGAAGGATTTCGCAGTGCTACCCTCTTTCTGCCAGTCTGGCCTTCGCGACGGCAATCAATTCCAACACGGGAGCGAAACCCCACAACGGCATCCATGTGACAGGCGCCCAAGATTGTTCCTTTTGGTTAACCCCGTCGCGCGAACCTCAGCTCACTGGCTCTGTCCGTTTGGGGTGGGACAGGATGACAGGATAAGCACTCCAAGGTAAAAAAAAAAAAAAACAGCCCTAGGAGCATGCAGGACTGCATTGTCACTCTCACTTCACTGGGGCCAAGGAGGCATGGCATGCTACGTTTGTGGCGTTGCGCAGGCACACTGCAGATCGTTTATGGCGCCCAGCGCCGAAGTCGCTCCTGACCACGCGGAGAGGCTGACGACGTTTGTCATCTTCTGACTCGACAGCATGGGCTCTGCGACGAAGACAACAACCCCGAACACCTTCTTCCCTGCGAGCCCGCTCCGACACCAAGGCAATGGTATCCAGCCGGTCGCCAATTCTCATGGGCATCCCAGGAATCCTGCATAGACATGTTGTTGCTCTCAAGAAGGGGGTTGCCCACCACGTGCGCCCCTCGGTATGAACGCACGAACAACGGGGCTACAAGCTCTGGAACCGAGACATGTACGGGCAGCCAGTTTGTGCCTTCCTAGATTGATACCTACAACAGGCGAAGGCAGTGATCAGTCCTTTTGTCCCGCTCCGACACGCCGGTACACTAGGGTGTTGGGATGCTACGCGGCAAAGGCCTCGCCACTGGACGATAGGCAGGCAGGTATGTAGGTAGGCAGGTAGGTGTTATGAAGAGATTGAACTTTTGTTGGAAGTGGGGATGATTTTAGCCGCACGAGCATGTCCGAGGCCCGCATTTGAACTTGCAGAAGTGGACATTGAGGTTCTAGAAGTCACAATAGTGGGATGGAGTCCTACATACCATGTGCCACGACGCTTCCGGCGACAGTAGTTCTATGTGGTTGTCAGGATCTATTCTTGTTCCGCCTCGTCTCCCCTTCCTACTAATGGATACGGCTGACTGCGGAAGTGCTTCATTTCTTCCTTTGCTTTTGTATTTCTCGCTCGGATGCTCTTTGCCCAACCTGCGACACCGGCGCCTCCATCGCCCGCACGCATTCCTTTCCCGTGGATAAGCGCCGCTGCCATCTTCAGCCGCGTAGACACAAGCGTAAGCTCTGAGTGGACGTGAAACGCAACAAAGTTTGAAACTCGAGTGCGGCTGCTTGACTGTCGGGCAAAGACAGAAAACAGCCTCATCCAGCGGTGGGCACCTCCCTATGCAACATGCTTGTGCGTGTCTCCTTCACCGCCAGCTCGCCTAGAATCCTATTAATCCGTGCAGCTGGGCGGAAGCATATCCATCCTGTGGGTACTGCCCGACTGCCAGGATTGCAGCCGTTCTTTCAAACCCGAACGACGGAAGAAACGACCCAACCGAACGCCCCGTCTGGCCAAATGAGAGCCAAGGGGGCAATGCAGCGTTTATTGACCTCGTGAGTAGACCGCGCCGTTGGCATCGACACATGCCGACATTTGATGTGGCGTGGTCACTTCTCCGTTTTTCTCATGGTTGGATCCCAATATTGAACCCTTGGAGGACAGAACCAAACCGCCGCTTCTAAAAGCCAGCGCAAGCTTTCCACCAAGCACAGCCCGGTCAGCGAGATGATCCCGAGCACATCATGACAGCCCCGGCTGGCCACATCTATTTCTGGTCGCGGCTGGTTAGGCATGGCGTCAATCGCTGCTTCCCCCCGCCTACCAAACACGTGCCGACCCAGGGGCGTAACTGGGACAAGAACACGGGGTCGGCTGCGAATTAAGGCAGAGGAAATGCCCCAATGCGCTCCAGATTGCGCGACACGCAACAGTACCCCGCCGTTCCTCGCCACCAGCACAGCGCCTTCGCAATCGTACCAACACCCAGGTTGGGTTTAGTTGCTTCTTGGGACTTGCCTGCTTGGCAAGTTCAGCAGGACTCTCTCTGCCTGGATCATGGCAAATGACACCACACCTCTACCCTACGGCCTACCCATCCAGTCGATGTGTAGGTGGCGCCTTCTGTAGCCTGCCTGGATCAGCTTCCAGGTTTGGCGGGTAGGTAGCGCAGAAACGCGCGCTTCCAGCTCCCTGGCTTCGGCACCCTGCGCTGCTCAATCACGGCAGAGCCGACAGGACGCCGTGAGAGATTAGATATCGCCGCCGCCAATCCCCGCCATTTGGTAGGTACCTAGGTAGGTAGGTTGTCTGCTAACAGGCTGGTCCGGTGGTCCTCGCACCCATCTCGTCGCGCGCTTCGCCCTTCAAGCTAGCCCACCCGTCGTCTCGATCTCTACTTGCCCAACAGGCATCGCGCCGGGCGAGCAGCTCTCCGCCCTGGCGAAATGTCACTGGTCCAGGTCAGATGAACACTGTCTGTCCAAGTCGGCGGCTGGTGTAGCACCCCTCCCACCCTTTTGACACTGCTCCCGCTCCTCGGGACTTGCCCCTTTCCTCTCCCGGTTCTGCCGCTGGCCGCCTTGTTTTCAATACCACGGCCAGAAACGGGCCTGGGAGCTCTTCGCGCCCGGCGCGCGAAGCCGCCCGCCCAACGCAGCGCATGCGACAAGCAGCGCCCTCATCTTTTTCCATGCCCCCCTCTTGCTCCTCCATCCACTTTCTCTGACCCCCTTCCATCGCTTTTCATCCAACAATCCATTCTCAATTCCTCCCAAACAATCCTAAATCATCAAAATTACCTTTCGCCCAGCCATACGAATCCCATATCTCTCTCTGAATTTTTAACGGCAGAGCTCCAATTTTAGGCCCAGGTGAGCTCCTTTTCTGCTATCAATGTGCGGTCGCGATCAAGTGTGCCTGTTGTTTACGTTTCGATTGCGTGACGAGCGCGACGAAACCTACCCCAGCCTCCCCGCCTGTTGCGTCGCGTTCCCTCTGTGCTTTCGTGCTGTTATATTCGCCTTCTCTCTCTCTTTATTGCGCCGGTAGTGCGGCGCCATTTTCTATCAGGATCAGGGTGTGTACGCCTGCTTCTCGCCAATATCCTGGGTTATTAGCCTCGCGCGCTGTCCACAGCCACGTTGCGGGGGATCCCTGAAGCTAAGAAAAGCGAAACAATTGCAAAGACGCCGACTTTGCCCATAGCAGCAGCCGCCCTACCTCATACACCGCAGACATGGCTCGTGAAGGCACTCGCTCGGCGACCGGCAACTCGAAGCCGCGCGTCTTTCCCGTCGTGGATACCGCCCCGACCATCACGCGCAAAAAGACCACCAAGCCCAAACCTGCTGCTGCCCACGACACCAAGACGAAGCCTGCGCCTGGTGCTAAAAGCGCGAAACCCGCCGGCGTGACCAAGAGGAAGGCTACCCCCAAGGCGGAGGGCCCTGTTACGAAGAAGGTGAGGACACAGTTCTATATTGGGCTCACTGGTGTTTGGAGCGGTGAAGGCGTGGTTTGCCCTGCTACTGGCTGTGTTATTGGTCGCTTACGGCACGAATGGGCGCAGGGCGGTCGCGAATATACACTCCCCTTCCCCGTATCTACTGCTTCCCGGCCAACAGGCTACGAGTGTGACATCGGCTAACATCGAATCAGGTCAAGACGGCCACCGGTAAGGTTGAGGGCAAGCTTGAAAAGGTAGTAAAGGTATTTGCACAGCCCCTCGCTCGCTCATCACGGCCGCTCGCACAGTCTGCGCAAGGGATTCTTTTTCTCTAGCGCGATGGGGAGGCTATATTAAGCCGGACGACATGGGATCTTGCACCGGCTGGTCACTGTCCGGGATCTCTGGCCTCACTTGAAAGCTGTTTCCTCGCTTTTCTCCGCGTCAAGCTGGCTGACCGCCTGGATTTAGGATACCAAGCCGAAGACGACAACCAAGAAGAAGGAGCCCGTGGTCTAGATCACTGCGGAGGCTGTTAGGCACGGGATTTTCCTCCGTTTATCGAGTGTTTCTTGCGTCTAGATGGCGAACCTGGAAGCTTCCACATTCACCATCTTGTAATACTCTGATGTTTGATATCGACGCCATATATCCCCCGTACTCGCCCTCGCCCTTCGGTTCATCTATCCTATATTTTGTACCGTGTCTCACCAGACGAGAACCCCGTTGCTTTTGGTTGAACCGATGACCCGCCTTGCGGAGGCTTTGGGATATTGAGGTCTGCACTTTCCAGCCCCCTATATTTTTCCTCTCTATGTATCGCAATACTCTCTGTTTCGGTATATATTGCCGTTTCCCCGCTACTTGCCATCCACTTTGGCCTCATGCATCGTAGGCTGCTGCCGAGCGAGTTCAGCCGTCCCCGGTCTCTAGTCTCTCGTCGCTCATTCTTTCGCTAATGTTCTTGTATCCCTCCGATCAAACTGTGTTATCGGTTGCCCAGGCTTCGCAAAGCAGCGGTAACAGGAGACACAAAACGAACACATGGTCTGACGTCTCCGTTCCATAGCGAACTCATACGTCCGCGCGCGTAGATAGGTGCCCCCGTAGTCGCTCCCTCACGCTTCACCCGCGGCGCTAGCCTGACCGACAAGCCTTCCGTTTCCCACTTCCCGCACCGCTGCGGTGGACGGCGGAGCGAACCCTTCTTTTCCTCTCGTTGACCTTCGTTTTACGGCTTACTCGATGCCGCTCATATGATCCCGCAGATCGTGCAGTTTCGTCAAGTCTAGGCAATCATGGAAGTTCGAGGTACATCGGCATAGTGCATTGACATCGACTTGTCGGCCAACACACACAGGCCCGTTTTCCTTGTTCGTAGCCATATTGCCGAACGAGGCTTTAGTGGCTGTTCTAGCCGAGGGCCTGGCTACCCACCTTTTATATAATGGGCGACCGCTGGCAGAGGATGATGTTGCGCTAATGAGGCATCTCGCCCAGCCTGGCCGCCCTCCGCTCCTTCGATTGTGTCTTGTTCAAGAAAAACTTGCCATCTTCGCGTGAAGAGACCGTCCCCAACATCCCCATCCCTGAGGTTTTTTGACGAGAGAAAGAATTACAGACGTTCCACTTTCTAGCCTGTTCCCCGACTTGTCCCATTCTCCAGCCTCGTTTCTTGCTGGATGTGACGGCCATATCGATGTAGAGACAAATGCTCTAGCAAACCCGCCTCGACATCATTGACTGACGCGACTTGGTCCTGTTGGAAGGTACAGGAAGAAACATATGCGAAATGCACGGCCAAGACGGGCCACCAGGGCGGACGGTGCTGAGGAACCACTGTGAGGATGACAGGACACATGATACTAATGCATATAGGACCAAGGTGATAGATAGATACATGTGTAGGTAGTAGGTGGCTATACCACAGGCTTCCTCAGAGGCTGCCTGTAACCCTCGCATTTCTCCAGCCCTTGGATTGATAGCTAGCGAATAATAGAAGAAGAGGGATAGCAGACGACGAGATGGCGAAAAGCAAGAAATGATCAATATTAACGCCTTAAACCGAAATATGAAAACAACAAGTACAGGAAGACGACGAACAAACGAACAAACGAACAAACCAAACGCCAAGGGGGTAGGCAGTATACCCACAAAAGAAAAGCGAAAAAGAATGAAAAGGACAAACCTGAACCCAAATCAACCCGTTGAGATGGCTCAAAAATGAGCGGACAAAACAGACTTCTCCAAACCCCAGAAGATCACCCTTTCTTCCCCGAACCCGGGCTCTTTTTGGTGGTCGAGCTTGAACCCTGTTGACCGCCCGACCCCGACCCCCCCTGCTGCTTTCCGTCCTGCTTTTTCGGCTTCTGGCTGGGCGGGGGAGCTTGCCCGCCGGCCCTTCCGGGCTGCGTCGCTGGCTGGCCCGTCGCCGGTGGCGGCCGGCCGCTCGTGCCTCCCGAGCCCGAGCCCCCTCCTCCGGACCGGCTCTGCGGCGGCGTCGCTCCCGCGCCCCTGGCTGGCGGCTGTTGCCGAGACTGGCCGCGCCTGATCGGCAGGTCCATCGTGTGCCCGCCGCCGCCGCCGCCGCCGCCGCCGCCACTGCTGCTACCGCCGTAGTAGGGCCCGGCCTTCCATTTCTTGTCCATGGCCTGGAACCACGTAACCTTCTCACGCGGGTTATACACGAACTCGTACGGATCATTGGCGAGCGTTGCCATGTCCTCCAGCTTGAGATCCTTGAAGCGGAGGTCCTTCGCATCGGCCTTTGCTGGGGCGCCGTAGGCGGGTCTTTCGTTCTTGGTTGTCCTTTGCGTTCTCCCGGTCCCGGCACCCTGGTCTTGACTCTGGCTGGTACCGGTGCCCGACTTTCCGTCGGCGCTGGCGTCGGCCTTTCGGTCCGTGGCGGTGTCCGGCTTTGGAGCCTCGCCGGAATGCGACTGATACTCACGGCGTGACGGCTTCGTGCGCCAGCATTACAGTAAGCCATGCACCAACAGATGGTAGCATGCAAAACTGCGCATGCGGCTATGCACTGCACCTACTAGGGCTGCGTGGTATCCGACAGTCCTGCCAGAGTTAGGTGGGCTTGGGGAAGTGGAAACATGTTCAATTCTGAGCCTCATCCGTGACGACGCACGATGATAGCTTGCCCACACGCCGCAAAGTTGGGTAGCATCACACTGGCACCTTTACTAACGCACTGGCGAGTGCAGCGCTCTTAGCCGGGCCTTGTGCAAACAGTTGCATCCAGTTTCGTTGGCCACGCCGGATTTAGATCTCGGCTAACCATATCTGGGGTGAGTGCAGTCACCGGTGCTGAACCAACAAACATGGAAACTGGACAGGTGATGGAAGGAAAGCGGTGCGGATCCCCACTCCTAACATGCACCGCCGCAACCGTTGGTTGGAGAGGTCTAGATATAGACACCTTGCTACCTACCTAGGCACTTAGTGACATATTAACCCGGGAGCCTAGTAATCCATCAGATGCCCCATACACCCAGGACCGCCATCGGACCAGCCCAGTCGGCCCGAGCTACTTGTGGCTGCTCCCAAGTGCCGAGAAGCAGGGAGTGGGCTGGGAGAAGGGATACGGAGAATGAAGAGGGCGAACAGAGAACATCGGCGATTGGCTAATGTCAAATGGGAGCCAGGGATTCGTGTTGAGTAAAGACGGAGACTTGTCTGGCTCTGGGAGGCATTGCGTCCAGATCCCTCATCACTTGTCTCCCACCACTTCTTCCTCCCCGGCAGAGACGCCGCCGTCGTCCCCCAAGTCATAATCGGCCGGTTCGATAAAGTTTCGCAAAGGGAGCGAGTTCTCAACAGGATCGTCATGTCGTCTCGGGGTCCAGGTAACTGTCTAGGTGTACATCCTGGGACCGAGGTCCATCAAGAACCACTCTCGAATCTTTCAGTGCATTTCGGGGTGGTCGCAATACTCCCCATCGTCTTCAGGGGCGCCGCACAGGGAAAAACTGTGACACATTAGATATTCGTGACAATATGGACAAGTACCCCTCATGTTGGCACGTGTGCCACGCCACGACATTCTTTGGATCGGGTTTCCGGCCGCAGAAAGATAGTGATAACCCCCGTTTGGGCTGGGTTGAGAGGAAAGCGCCATGCCCGGATAGCCCAATCGACGAGAATGGCGACGAAAGGGCGGTCCGCTTCGCTGGCATCGAAGGTTATGGCGAACTTTTCGATTCGATGCATGTTGGTGAACTCACAGCCCCATCCGCCTTGGATGAAGTCGATCGAGGGCGGAACCCAAGACGGGCGTGGATGTCGTCTCTCGTTGTCCGCCTCCATGGCGACGGGTTCCCCCCCGAAAGCCCCGTTTCCGGACGTCTTCTCTTTCAGCAAGTCTACCTCCCCACCATCAAAAGGATGAGGTATGAGTCTAGGAAATGGGATGGGAGAATTCTGGTCGTGACCGTAATAACTGTGGTCGTAAGCGGAGGTCGTCTCGTTGTGAGGGACGAACGGATCCATAATCATGAAATCGCCGTCTTCAGTCAAGTCTCGGACAATGCCGTAGGACCCCCGGCGGCGCTCCCACCACCAATGAAACCAACACTCTTCTTTGATTTCTGCGATATTGGAGGCCGTCACGATCACGTCCTTCCACCTATGATGCAAGCCTCTCCAATCGCAGTCCCGGATCGTCAAGCGTGGGTGTTTAACGTCGCGAAGGAAGTGCTGTTCTGGGAACATGGCCCAGCGGATGCAGTCTGTATTCGCGAGGAGATGGATGGTTGTGAATTTGCGCTCCCATCGCTGGCGATCCTGGGACCATTCAATAGGTATAGAAACGCGGTCGGGGTGGGCGTGTGTCTCGGGGACAGCAAAGCGGCGCTCATTTTCCTCGAACAGAACGGATTGGGCCTCGGTGTAGGCCCGTCGGCACGCGAGCAGGATGCCGCCGGGCCGGAGGACAGGCCTCCCGACATAGCCGGGACGTTCAGACGTGCAAGTCCATTCGGGGGCATCTGGGTCGGCCCAAGGGCCGTCACCCCTGTACTTGTGGTAGTGCTTTAGGTGGTAGGGGCCTGGATGGTACTGCTTAGGGCCCCGCCACCTCCACGGAGTTTCGCTTGTCCATCCCCGGAGCGCATCGCGCAAACTTTCAACACCGCCACCACAGCGCCGGCGGAACTTGGCGAGCTCGTCGCGTATGTCGTCGTCAGGGCCGCCGTCATGATTGGGGGTGATGCGGAAGTCATGGCAAACCTCAAAATCGCCATACGTGTAGATCTCGACGTCGAAGGCGTAGGAGTATATTGCCCGGCGGATTTCGGCTGGGAAAGATGAGAAGAATAGGGAGTGCAGCTGCGGGTTTTCCTCCCAGGTCGCCGCGCGAAGGTCCATGTTGATCGACATCTTGTTCGGGGAACATGTGCCCGATCTATCTCCCGCAGTGCCAGACCTCCAGCTAGGCTCGGACGCATGCGGTGGGGGTGGTGCACTGGTGCCTGGTAGCAAAATGGCTAGGACCCAACACCCAACTGTGTAGACCCACCACTATCCAAGACCCACCAATATCCAAGACCCACCAATATCCAAGACCCACCAATATCCAAGACCCACCAATATCCAACCCAACCGCCCGTGCAAAACCTCCGAGGTGAGTGTGAGGCGGCACGGCGGTTTTTTATCCATCTACTTGGGTACCCTGCACTAGTGACCCTCGCGCTTACCGTATCATCTCTTTGTTTCTGATAGGACAGTCGACTGGATAACGGGTTCCCGCTAGACTTAAAAAGGCTTAGAGTAATTCTGGACTTTTTGGATAATACGGTGCATCCTTTTTGTATTGAGCACTTTCCGGCGAGAATCCGCGCTCTTGTCCTCCTTAGGTAGGCGTCAGGCCACCACATAAAATGTGCTCTGTAGTAATGCCTCCTGAAACAGGTCAGACAGCTCATCCCGCCAAGTTCCTACTAAATATTGCTTATCTGCAGCTTTGATTCTGTAAAAAGCAGTCAGGGGAGCTTCATACCATCACCTATATTTAGACGGCCTGGCATTCATCCCATTCGGATCTCGACAACTTCCAAAACACCCCACCCAAGGTCACCTGTCCGGGAACCATACAGTCCACCGAGGAACCCGGACGCGTGCTCGGCGCCACTTCCATTCAGGAAAGCCGGGAGGAATTAGACGGAGTGGAGGGAAGGGGATGGGGGTCGTCGTCGCTGTGCACAACACTGCACATCATTAAGGGCCCCCGTTCGCCCGACTGTGCACACGGAGCAGGTTAGCGCTGGAGTAGGCCGAATTTGGTGTGCAATGTGGGTGTGCAGGAGGAGGGGACAGAGCGAGCCATTCACGATCCAAGAGTGGACGCGGCCATGGTGGCATTGCAGGAAGCGCTGCTTCCCAGTCACACACACACACACACAACATATGCGCGCGTACGCGACGCATGCCAATCGAATCACTTGGAACCGCCCGTCGGTTCCGTGCTCCAGCACTGCGTGGTACAGAGGGTGCACGACATGGGATAGCGATGGAGTGCTATCTGCATCCATGTAGTGCAAGATCCTTTGTTGTCTGTCACACACGGGAGGGGAATCCATGGTCGTTGAGGGTCCCGTCGGGCAAGTGCTCTGATGAGAAAAAAACATGATCCTTTGCTAGATAGCGAAGTATGTAGGTGTTTTACACCGGGCTGCCCGGCGAGTGCTGTGTCCCTTCCTTTTCCCTTGTGACGGAAAACGGGAGATGGAAATCCCTAATCCAAAACCGAGATGCTTATATCGTACAGGCGGAATGTTTGGAGACAAGTACAAAAAGAAAGATGCTACTATCGTTAATCATGAGCGGTCGACCCAGTTAAACACTGATCTGCCGCGGCAAACAAAAACATGCAAACGGAGAGTAAGAGGGGGGCAAATCGAGCCAAGCGCCCCAAAATCAATGTAAGAGCTCCAGAGCCACAAAAATGAGTAACACGCCTTGCGTCTTGCTGACGATGGGATAGGTCGGTAACGGAGATGGTGGTTAATCAGCCAACCATGGGCGGAGGCGGCGGCGGAGGGCCGCCCATGCGGGGTCCAGGGCCGGCCCGGGGCGGCATCGCCTGCATCCCCGGAGGTCGTAGCGGCCCGTTGGGCATCCCAGGGGGCCTCGGCGGCCCGCCCGGCACGCCGACTCCAGGGAAGCCTGGCGGCACCCGGGGCGGCCCGCCGGACATGTGCGGGGGCATCGGGCGCTGGCCTGGGAACATTGCACCCGGCATGCCTTGCATCGGGGGCGGGCCGCGGCCGGGCCCGGGCTGCTGCTTTCCGTCACTGTCGCTCTCGCTGTAGTCGTCGCCGTCGTCGTCGTCGTCGTCGTCGTCGTCGTCGTAGGACTCGTCGTCGTCATCGACGGCCTCGACGGTTCCCGAAGGCCTTGACATACCGCCTCGCGGGCCTTGTCCGGGGCCCATGGGCCCCATAGGTCCCATAGGAGGGACTCCGGGCCTTGCATGATGACCCATTGGGCCCATTGGGCCCATAGAACCCGCGGGACCTGGCGGCATTGGACCCCCCGGCCGCAGCCCACCGGGCGGCATTGGGCCTCCCGGCCGCATCCCGCCGACCCCCATTGGGCCTCCCGGGCCCATGGGGCCGGGGCCGGACGGCTTCCCGAAGCTCCTGCCGCTGTACGAGGAGCCGTCGTCGTCGTCGTCATAGTAGGAGCCGCGGACGAAATACCAGGTGTCGGTGCTGTACGCCGTGGTGTAGTCGCCGTAGTCATTCTCAACCGTGGTGATCTCTTTTCTGAAATGGGAGTGGCGGCTGGGGCGGCCGCCCGCGAAGTAGACCATGCATGCCAAGCTGCCCGACTTGATGGGCACGTTGTGCCGGGTGGTTTTGGTGCTCGTGGTTGACGAGACCGACGAGCCAGACGAGGAAGAGCTGCTCGAGCCCTTTGACCTCCGGGAGCTTGATCGTCCCATGGTGTACGTATGACTGGGGGCCGGGTCGTCTGGGCTCTTGGGGCAATCTTGGCTCGTGCTCGGAGTCGAAGCCGGGCACGGTTGACCAAGGGCAACCTATCGGTGTGCGTCCCGGGGCGAAACGAAGGCAGCAAAAGCAAAGAATCTGGTCAGAGCTTTGAAGGGTAGCAACGCCCCTGTGAAAGGATGGGATGACTGATATTTCGGCTCTCTAAGATGAATGCTATCGCGCCGGGCGAGTAAGGCAATAAAGGTGATGGAAGGCGAGGGGACGAAGTGGACAAGAGTTTTGTGATGATACACGAAGCCAGACGCCAGCTGGGCGTTCTATAGCGTGGGCTTAGTAGGGGGCAATGCGCGGGGTAGTTGAGGAGGGGGCACAAATCTGGGCGACGACGATCAGTTCCTGGAGCGGAAGAGGCACGGGCATGGGAAGAGAGTTATATCCCGGGCTCGTGATTCTTTGATGTGGACAAACAAACATTCTCTCACCGGGTGTCTATGAGGGGCAAGGAGGCAACCAGAACGGGGCAACGGCCAGCTTTCTCCTGCGCTGAAGTCGGGCGGGATACGACTGCACTGGGGATGACGGCGAGCGTGCACTTGCATCGATGCATGGGTGCAGGGGAGGCAGCGAGGGGCCGCCTTTGTCCAGCAGCTTGACCAGTTGCGGCCGGAACATGCAAGCGGCCTGGATACACCGGGCAAGCAAGATGCAGAGGGGTACGGAAGAAGTACCTAGGTACACAAGAGCCTCAAAGATGGTTCTATTAGAGACCTAGAGGAGAAGGGCCAGGTCGAAGGGGGCTGATAGCCCATGCGGGTGATGAAAAAAAAAGTGGGTACTATTTTACGTCTCGGGCAACGACTGGAGAGCCAGGCGCCGGGGTCGAAGCCCCGAGCTGCGGGAGGGGAGGAGCAAGGAAGACTAGGACGTGATATGGCGTCCGCGGACTGCATGCGGGCGCGCTGCAAAGAAGCTGGGCGACGCGAGGCCCGCTTCCTCACTGGCCTACCAGGCCGGTGCCCGCCCCTCCATTTCGTGGCCGCCTCCCTGGACGCCCAGCTGCGGTATCACGGACACCACAGCGAGGACCACACAAATGTGCGGCGCAGCCGGCGTGGTCCAGCGCAGCCGGGCGACGTAGCTTCCCGAGAGCCTCTCCCCCGCGATCCAGCGTGGGCGCAGTCTCGGTTCTGGACGATTACGCCCAGCAAACAAGGGTTGGGCATCTGTGTGCCAGCGCAGCAACTCAGCTTTGCCGCAACCACATCCCCACTCAGCGGGCAGACAAAATGCCTATCTAGGCGGTTGCCGAATAGCCGGACACCAATACAGCTGACAGCAGGCTGACAGGCCGGGAGCGGGAAGGGGAGGTGACAGAGTGAAGTCAACGCCCAGGGAGGGGATGCATTGGTGGCGGACGACGGTGTGCGGAACGAGGCCTGGTACGAGGCCTGCTAGAATTAGTCAGATGCAAACACAGCATTAGACTGCATGTTCGCCCGCAGCTTTGTTGCAGCTAGAAGACGGGTTGCTGCAGGAGGCCAGACGCAGAATGAAACCAAGAGGTCAGTCCATCTGTGCGTCCCCGCCTGACCGAGACCGAGACAGAAATGGGAGGCAGACATCTGTCCTCGCCACTCGCCGTCGTTTGCGCGAGAGCACAGGGTGTCAGTGGCGGGGAACGTCGCGAGAAAGGCAGCATTGAAGTCAACGAAACTTCAGGACGACAAGGATAAAACAGAGGTGAGTGGTGGTAATGGATGCATGTAGGTGGGATCCAATTGCAGGTGGTGTTTGTTTGTTTGTTGGCGCCGGGCACAGCTGCCTGGAGACCGGACTCCACTGTGGCTGCCTGTTCCTTTGGGCGGGACTTGTTGCTTTATGTTGCCTTACGGACAGCCGCTTTCAATGTCTCGCCGGCCAAACCCGATTTCCAAGTTCTCCCGCAATCTCACGCATGGCGGATACCAGAGGCCGAAAGTACGGCAACGCGGCACCCTCTGACTTGGCCAGGTCAATCTCGAAATTATCGTTGTGATGCCGATGATGCAATTCGGGTGCGACATAGGTAACTGGTGGGTGACTGTTCGGCAGCTGGGGAAATAAATCCTTAGAAACAACCCACTGCTTGTCGGATGCCCACAGAGAGTGATGCCAGAAGTCGTGGTCAACATTGGATATGGAGATCGCCGGGCTGCCTAGGCTCGGACTCGCTCTAACATCGCAAGGTGCTGCCAAATGAACGGGCCGATTCCATTACTTGGTTGCAAAGCGCCGGGGTGGGCAGGCATGCACCTAGAAATCGGCCAGACCGTCTACTCGGCGTCTATGCCATGCGCAGTCCCCTCCACCAGCACCAGCCGCTCCGGACCAGACCGGGCTCCAGGTTGATGACGGGTGATTTTGAGAAATTGTTCCTCGTCTTTATCCAGATCGAGACGGCTTGGCGCAACCTGGATTCGCAACCCAATTACTATGTGAGAGAGGCAGACAGACGCAGGGAACCCCCACCATCTCCCAACCCCAGCTTTTGCCTCCACAAGCCCTTTGCCCCTTGCTACGGCACTTGCTAGCAAGGAATAGGATTAATTACCGCCCGTCGCGCCAACCGATGCCTTGCGTAGCCGTTGAACCCATCCCCATTCCTCCATCAGTGTGCCTACGTGCCCCCTCGGTAGCACGGTAGGCAGATACATGTCCATGAGACCTCAGCGCAGACAGTTTTCAGTCGCCATACTCGCGCGACAGGGTACTCTGCTTGGGAATGAGGGACGAAGCGTGGATTCGTGGGTGTTTTGGCATCCGCTGTCTGCGCATCAAATGCTGAGGTCAGCCCATCTTGGGGCCCCGCAGTGCGGAGTGGATGGGTCCTCCGGATCGCCAGGCCCCACTTGACGTGTTGCATTGCCGTTACCGTTGCCGATAGCCCCTGCCCTTGCTGGGTGGAGATCCAGTCCCTCTACTGTACCATTCACAAGGTTGAAGAATCTCACCCTCCACTAGTCTCCCGTCACTTCAAAATTGGCCGCCGGAAAATTCCAAGCTTCCATCTCCATCAAGAACATGGATGAACCGAAAATGTCGACGTAAGCAAATCCACACAATAAACCGAAACGAAACGGGATGGTGCACACACACGCCCGGCACGATCTGGAGCCAATACAAATGCGTCTCATTCATCTCACTTGACCACTTCCTCCCGTGCAGGCCTCTTCTGGGCATGGCCCTTACCCAGGTCTTTCGCGTCCACCCCGGCTCTGCCTGCCACCCCCAAGGAGACTTTATCGACTACACCCTGGAATGGGGTAGCCCAGGCGTCTCCCGGGAATAAGTCTCCCTTTCAGCCAAAATAGGCTCAAAGCCCAGCGACCACTCGGGACTCGGATCCGAAGGCATGGGCCACTGGCGAATATATTGCCCACGGCTGGTTTGGCCCCATCGTGTTCCCTTTCCGCCCCAACAACCTTGCATTTGCCCCTGTGGCCCACGCCAGGGACCAACCCACTTTGCATCGGTGGCAAGTCCGGCTGGGCCTTTTCCTCGCTGCATCGTTCCTTTTCGTGCTGCTCCCGGCGGGCTGCTGCGGGCGAGCGGGTGCTGTTTTCCCACCAAAACCGTCCCCCGCTGCGCCCTCTGTTTCAATAATTGGCCCGCGGGGGCAGTGGCCAACCTCTCTGGGGCCGAGAGGCGGTCGATCATTAGGAAATGCACTCACCTGATGATGCCGCCGATCAAGGGCCCGTCGGTGCTGCCCTGTGTGCTTCCAAATTTGGCGGCGGCCCATCTCATCTCAAGTCGTAGGTGATGCTACAGCCCGAACCTTGCGAGCCCAGGCTTGCACGGATACTCTCTACCATGTGAGATATGGCCGTTTTGCTGGGGCTAAAATCCCTGCTGGCATCTGACATCCATGTGGCCGTCAGAGAATAAGGACACAGGCGTCTGTCGGTCTGGGCGCGAGCTGGGCGATGGAGATGGGCCATAACGGGCGCAACACGCCCCTCCGCCCCTAAATTGCAGACAGGAAGCTCCTTAAGTACGTGCGCCGTGCCGAGGACAGAACAGCCGGCATCTTGGGTGAGGGTCCTGGCGCCGCCCTATGGCCGGCCAATGGGAGGCCGAGTGCACACCCCCAAATCCGAGTCCGAAACCAGTCAGCTTTCTGCTGTTCCTGACTTGCCTTTTGAGGATCTGTGGGCCCGGGCTTCCATCGTGAACTGTCTCTGCACGCACGCCTGCCTCCTTCGCCGGAAGTTTAAACCTGCCTGGGGTGGTGACAGGGATGTCCGTCCCGTGTTTTCCATGGATGGTTGGTGGTTCCCCCAGGCGGGGAGGCAGAGCGCCTGCTCGACCTATCTATCCTGCATCGACCTGTCAGACTTGTTTTACATGCCCTGGCACTCTCCTACATCCTGACCATAACAGACATACACGTACAGATACTAACACTCGCGGCTCCCCAGGCCCTAGCACGTAAATTACCCATTTCCTCTTCCTCATCACCACCGCGAAGCACCGACCTGCCCCCGCGGGGTCGATTTGCGCACTATCCAGCCCTCACTACTGGTGGAAAGAAACGTAACGAACAAGGCCGCTAGCTGCATAGAAAGAGGACGGGAAATTGACGGCGGGCGTACAAAACAACGTGTACGCCGTGAAGTGGCTCAAGGTGGTGGAGGATCTCGCGGCGCATCGCTTCTGAGCCCCAGATTGGCTTGTCAGCCCTTGCGCTGCCAAAAGGGACGTCCGGAGTCCCGATCTGCTGACCCCCGACAGGCCAGTCACAGCAGAGCGCGAGATCGCCAATGGAAAACGCCAACCCAAAGAACCCCGAGGGCGACAGCACTGCCCCTCGCCGATCCTCCACAGCTCAGCCTGTCCACAGTGACCAGGATGATGCATATCTGCAGGCAATGGCGGTGCAGGACGGCTTCAGGCCGACCCTCGCAGATGTCTCACCCAGCCAGGGAAACTCCCCGAGGTCGTCCTCCCTGATAGGCGACTCGGAATCCCCACCATCAACCCCGAGCAGTCGCAACCTGCCGTCTGCAACACCACCCAGCCGACCGTCCAGCATCGCAAAGGCGCCCGGGCCCGACAGCGACTCGTTCGCCCTGCAGAACGACGGCTCTGCCGCCCCCAAGTCGGCTGAGCCAGCCACCATATCTTCTTCATCGCAGGAATCCTCCGACTCCATGCCGGCGTCTTCCTCACCACTTATCGCGACGGAAGCAATGCACCCGCCGAGGCATGACAGCCCCTACCAGGGGCCGTCTGGGCCTTCGCATCCTTATCAGCTGTATACCCAGGATGTGCGCATTGCGAGGACCATGAGCACGAGGACTTCATCGACAGCGGGGCCGCCCCCCTCAGAGCAGCCCTACTCGGGACCCCATGGACCGGCGCATCCGTACGGCATGTACTCCCAGAATACGGCTCCGACGCCCCATCATCCTGGCGCCGGTGCGTCTGTGGGTGACGCTGTAGGCTTTTCCGGCGTGGCGGTCGACCCGTACCGCCGCAGGATAGGTCCGGAAGGGGAGGAGATGGGCGGTTTGGTTGGGCCCGATGGACACACCGAGGAGCTGCCGCCGTACACGAGATACCCCGACGAGCAGATTGCCCGCAAGGTAAGAGACGTGGAGGCTGTGCAGTCGGCACACGCCCCGCTGCCACCACAAGCGGCGCAGACTGCCTCATCGACGACACAACCAGCCTTGGGCGTTACGTTTCCGCCCCAGCCCATCCCCGGGGCTGGCGGGATTGGGATCGCGGCGCGGAACCCCGAGTTCGATTCCATCGATGATCTAAACACGCCGCGCTCCCGTCACTCGTCTCGGAGCTTTACATCGGCCTCCGAGACGAGCCACCACGAGATCAACACAGCAGCGGCAGCCGTTGTCTCGGAGAAGGTGCCGAATCGATGGGAGAAAAGAGGGCGAAAGCGGGTCTGCGGCATGCCATGCTGGGTGGTTGTCCTCTTGATAACCGCCATCCTCGTTGTGGGCCTCATACTCGGCGCCGTTCTTGGGACTCTGCTGGGCAGGCAGCCGGGGCCCCCTCCCGTCCAGCGAGCGCCGCCGCCCTTATACGACGCGGTCCCGATCCCCGTACCGTCGGGCCTGCCGCCCCTGCCCACCGGCTCTTTCGGGATGCCACTCATGCCGCTTGGGGCACGCGACGTGTGCTTCCAAGACGCAAGCCTCGCCCCGGCGTGGACCTGCGGGCTGGCCTTCAGCCCGGCCATCATGGCCATGGTCATGACCATCAGCGGCGGGGACAACGGGAACCCCTACAAGGTGTCCATGTCCACCAACAACAGCCTCTCGGCGGGCGCGGGCGCGTACTCGTACGGCGCCCAGGCGCCCATGTTGCCGCCCGGCACTTTCGCCATGCAGACGGTCAACGACACGCTCGAGCCAAGCCGGGGCCCGGCCTGGTTCAAGATGCTGCCGTTCAACAAGACCGTCTTCATATCCGAGTCCAGCTTCCCCGCCAAGGCCGGCGGCTCGGCGTCGTCGCGCCGGCTCCTCCGCCGTGCGGCGCCCTCGTTCGACGAGATGAAGCGCAAGTTCTCGGCCCAGCCGGGTGACAAGCCATGGGCCTGCACCTGGCCCGACACGGTGCTCGAGGTCTTCATCTACCCGAACCAGAACGCGAGCCTGTTCAAGTCCATGAGCTCCAGCGGCGTGGGGCTGCCGCCGCCCGGCGGCAGCGGCGGCGGCGGCGGCGGCAGCTCGGCGGCGACGGACCCGGCGTCCCCCACGCGCGGCTCCCTGCCCTTCGGATCGGGTTTCCCCAGCACCACCTCGGGCGGGGGCGGGGGAGGCGCGTCGCGAACCTCGGGCACGCCCGGGCCGTCGCAACCCCCGAACCCCTTCGACGGCGACTTCCCGCCCCTGCAGCCGCCCTACCCGCGCGTCGTCAAGCTCGAGGAACGCCGGATCCAGGGGTCGCCGCAGCCCGTGTGCCGCCAGCTCAAGATCAGGGAGGACGGCACGCCCATCCCGAACGTCGACGGCGCGGGGAAGCCCATCGAGGTCGTCATCACCGAGGTGGGCAACACCCCGCCGTACCGCGGCAACCTCGCGCCGAGGGACTCGGATGGGGTCGTCGCCATGGAGGAGCCGAAGCTCTTCCGCAGGGACAACCCTGAAATAAGCGATTGCAGTTGTGTGTGGTTTGCAACATGATTGCGTATCGGCCACCTATCCCTCTCTTTTTTTCGATCGGCATGATTCTTTTCTCATTTACCTCCCTGGCTTCTTTTTTATCGGAGTTCACTCTTCCTTCAGAGGCGTTTTGAGCTGGGCTCCCTGTCGACTTTACTATCAACAATTTGGAAAAACTAAAAACATGGAAAGCTGGATCGAGACTGACGTTATTGCATCCAACAGTATAGCGGATCATTTCACCAACTGCTTACTTCTTTCCCCTCTTCATCCTACTTCTCTTTCGAGCGGCACAAAACCTATTTCTCTTGCGGCGTCGTTTGTCGCCTTTTTTGTGTATTTGTTTCTCGGTGCCTGCTTCTCACGCGAAAATGAGAATGCAACGTCATTGGCCTGCTTCTAGCTCTTGTTCACTCCTTTCTCATTTTTTTTTTGTTTTCTTCGGTCTTCTGTCCAGTTCCACACCCTCTTGACGGTATTAAGCTTCGCCGTCCTACGGGTTTTGTTTGGAGTTTTGATGCCGATGGCTGCGGCAGTTTTCTTTTGCTCAACTGTGTGCCCTTGCCACGAAATTACCCCTATTCCACAATATCGTTATCGGCCCATCATAGCTGTGCTGTCAGATACTCTTGGGGGCGCTATATATGATTTAAACCCCTATCTTCTTTTTTTTTTTTTTTACCAACTTCTCGAAGTGCTATCGTTGACCTCCGACATGCTCAAAACAGCCCCAGATCAAGGGGACCAGAGACGGTAGGCCTGGTCGATAGCCGGGAAAGACCCCGACCCCCTCCACTGTAGCACGGCCCAGGAATGTGCAGCTATCGTAGCCAAAGCACGTACATGCGTTGAACCCGACCGATCGATCGCAACAGCGAATGCCGAGACCCCTATGACGACGAGCTACCTGAGAATATGTCGGACTCAGGCAGGCGGTGGGGAGCAGTTTTTTTTAACCCCACGGAGATGCAGTCCACCATCCGGACGAGCCGATATATCCGCCATCAGCCGAGCGAGGGTACGGGAGTTAAGGTTCCTCACTTGGACTCAGATACCTGGCTGCACCAGTGTCTCAGACCTGATAAGAAGAAGGAACTGATGCTTGGACGGAAAGGCTGCATATGCCTCGGGCTCGACGGTGCCCCCGCCTTTTTTTTCGGTGGAAACGGATCGCGACTGCAGGTAGTCGGCATGCGCGTAGGGGATGAGACATGTTTAGATGACGCTGGGTGGTCTGTAGGTGTTGTCGTGGTGACGTATACAACCAAATCACTGGCCCCCTGAGTTGTCCAGCTTTCTTCGCAACCCGCAACGAGGAGTCTAGACAGCGGAGGATGGCGTGATGTTGAATGCAGTCCCACAGGGCTGGGGCATAGGTCATAGAGAAGTGTGTCCTTTTTGAGGTGTTTGTAGGTGTTTGTAGGTATTCGTCTACCTCGGGGCTTCTTCCGCCTGCTGCTGCCCTGCAAGATCACGACTGGGGGCTTCGCCCTCAGTCCTAGCCCGTGGCGACAAATCTTCGTCTAGGGCGGCGGCGTTAGCGGTATCGAGCCCAGTCGAGGGCGTATCAACAGCAACTGCCCCCGCCCCTGCCTCCACGGGCCCACCACCCAGGTCGGCGCCGAGCCCGTCGAGGAAGCTGTCGGCGAGCTTCTTCGCCCTGCGCTCGGCCACGTCCTTTCTCCTCTCATCGATCTCCCTCCTCCGGCGCTCGACTTCGTCCCTCCTCCCGCGGGCTCGCTCCTTGCGCTCGCGCCGGACCCTCTCCGTCTCTGCGCGCGCCGCCTCCAGCGCCTCTATCTCCTCTTTCCGCCTGGCCTCGTCGCCGGCCGTGAAGGCGTAGAAGCCCGTGCCGCGGGTGCGGATCTCGCGCGCGGCGTCGTAGTGCGTCTCGGGCGGCGGCGTGGCGGAGCGGTCGCGCTTGCGCGCCAGCGCCTCCATCCCCTCTTCGTCGGCCGCCGCGAAC